CTTACACTATTTTTTCAAAAAGAAACTTTCAATAGAATATATGGTTATTTATTTATTCGCTGCTTCCGTGCATAATTAAAAAGGCTATTGGAAACATTTCAAAGCTGCCAGAGAATTTATTTAGGCAAATAAATGTTAAAAACTGTTGAACAGTTATATGCGCAAGAGCATAGCCACACACACACACACACACACACACACACACACACACACACACACACACACACACAGCATATGACATAGAATAGTAGTTTTAAATATATTTGTACATTTTTGTCGACTGACGAAGAATATTTTAAGACACTAAACTGTATTTTTAGTAGAAGGTTTGTTGTTAAACCTAGATTAATACTTGAAGTCATAGTAAAAAAAAGTAGTCAATCTCATTTGCCTAAGCATTTTTTTCCGTTGAAATGTACAAGTAGTGGTCGAACATGACAGTAAAGAATTTTTAAAAACCCTTATTGATGTTCATATTTCGGAACATTTTCGCTTACATCGATATTGATAATCTTCGATCAGTTTAGTTTATGAAATTATACTTAGCAAAAGTGTACACTGTTGTGAACTGAACTAGCAACCACTTATCAAGTTTCACAGGATGGTCAGAATGATTTGAATACGTGAACTGTTAGTTGAAAGCAGAATAATTTGGTAAATGATTCACATTTCCTTCCATCAGGTCTTTTACATCTTCAACTTATTGAAAATGAGATAACCTGTCGTATTTTTTTCACAACTTTTTCGATTATTTTATGCACTGTGATTATTCTTCACCAATAATGAGTATTCCGATCATTGGTCTGTCTAGAACGTACAATCAACAGACTGCAAGATATCATTATTGTTAGATTCTCTTCATCATTTCTTTTCGTCCAACTGTTTTATTTGAAACACTCTTTATCCGTACATTTATTACTTATTCAAAACCACAATAAAGACCGGTGTAGTTTTCATAATTGCTCATAAGAACGTAAGGTTTGAAGTTTTACTTACGAACGCTAAGTGGATGTTAATTGGTTGAAGGCAATCGGCCGAAGCCTTGGATCTAGGTTTCGTGTTTGTTGTCACTCGCAGGCAAGATGTATCTGTAACCTAGAGGGAACTGATGCCACCCCCTTGAGGTTCGAACTTGCATCACCCAGTGTTGCAGTCAGTGACGCTACCACTGAGCTGTTGGGCTGCGATTAACCTCCTAACTTGGCGACCACATTGCAAAGTGACCGATAGAATTCCATCATCACTCAGGATAGACAACACGTAATTCGTCGGTCTCTAGTGACCAATTAATTTAGGAACTCTAGGTACATTTCGTTTTTCAATAGTTCACCTTTCATCAAGGTAAAACTGAAACTTCTGTAAAACAGTATACTCTATGTCCGCTTTATCAAATCGCCGTGAAATTTAGATTGGATCTTTAGTACGTCACAAAATAAACTAACGATTTGATATATCTGCTAACAGCCTTGAATGTTGTCTCTTTTCAAGGGATTCAGACGTTGGTTTCATCTATTTGGTTCACTTTTCTTACAATCAGAGTTAACATTGTTTGTCTTGAAGGGGTTGCTATCATATATATATATATATATATATATATATATATATATATATAAACTGCAGATACTGTGCTATAGACTACATAGTCTAGAAGACTAGATTGTGTAGAATAATTGTAAAACCTATCCGAGGAAATTTTCGTAATTATTCCAACTGATAAAACTCAGCACCACACGGATTTTGAATCTAAACCACTCCTCTGGCTGACCACATCTACGGTGACAAAGGATTTGCGAAACCATATACTGCATATTCAAACTTTAATACTGTAGTCACTGGCTTTAGAAATCAGTACACATCAGTATCATATGTTTCCTTCTTTATGAAAAGCTATAAACCACTATAGTGCAAATACCCTCCCATTAACCGTTGGATCGCTTGGTTGAACTATATGCAACTTTAAGTAGAGCCAAGTAGTATCTTTAGGGATTAAAATCAGTTGGAGAGCTATTGAAAACAGCTGTTTCATCATAAGATGGAACTCGTAAGTAGTGAATGCCCACGACCCCGCCAGAGGTCGAACTCACAATCTTCATGTCTCGCTCGTGGCCAACGCACTAACCATTCAGCCACTGGGTTGGAATCCAATGGTTCACAGATTCCTACTTCTATCAGTTCGTGATATTGCACTACTCTCTACCGAGATCTTCAGTTGACATCCACTTCACTTCTGACTGGTTGACCCCACAAGTCACAACTTCTCTTTCGAACTTCCGGATATCCATCTCGAAACACTATGTAGTAATGTATTTTGAAGTTTATGGTTCTTCAAATGAATACTACCTTAAAAACGGAATAAAATCCCCAATAACCTTAACATACATTACCAAGTAGTATCATTTTACCTTTATCGCATGAAATTATCTGTGAGTTGATTCCACTGAAATGTTTATTAGACATCAGATAAATTAACGCTTCAAAGAGAGTTTCTATACTATAGACCAATGCAAGTGAAAATCTTAGAATTCTTTAAGGTTAGTTTAGTTTTCATTTCATATAAATTTGTTATTATTAACTTGATTGTTCATAACAGAACGCAAAAAACAAAAATACTCCACTAACAAAAGAACAGTAAGTAAATTAGAAAATTTATAAATTTGGAAATGCAAAGAAATAAACAGATTTCGCCCTGACATAACATGACATTCAGTTTAAGAGAAAGTAATTAATCAAAGTACTTCCTAATAAATGATTCATAGTTTTCATGGAGTTAAATTAGTCAAATACGTGCATGTCCTACTTGTGATAGGGAGAAGAAAAATTATCATAGACTAGGCTATAATATATGTGTTTGTATACTGATAGCATTATCAGAGATATTTTGTAGCTAGCTCATACATTGCTTTATGTCTTTATGTCTAAGCGCTGGTCACTTGATTTTATTTGCTTTTAAATGTCAATACTATTTGTTGATATACTTGTAATTCTCCTTTGTTATACTGGATCGATTTCTTCAACCTACGTTGGCGTATGGGTTCCTATGAGGATCCCTCGATATTGCCTAAACATTTATTATGTTATTTCACCTGGTTGTGGCTAGCAAGGGATTCTAGGATGCGCGTTTCGTCCCATTTAGGACTTATCGGCTGGATATATCTGCGGCCCAGTGAGTAATATTGTTCCCACAGACTCGAACTTCGTACCTATCGCTTCAAATGCCAAGGTGTTATCAACTAGACTACTGAGACATGGTTACTAGTTGAAAAGTTATCATGTCTTGTAGGTATGGGAAAGTCAACTTTTTTTTCAGTCTAAGCAAACTCATGCTATCATGCAGATCATTGCCTACTGCACAAATGTGCATAAAGTTATTTGAGTACATTTCAAATTCTTTTCAATTTGACTGTCTACAAGTCATTGCATTCAAACAGTCTATGAATATTATTGAATAAGCTTGTTACAATAACTTTCTCTTAAAGCCCTTCAACAATATGTATAAAAGTCAGTATTATAATGAATGTTTTTCACCCCATAAGTTGAATACATTCTAAACGGTAATTATAATATTATTTGAATATCCGCTTTACTTTCACTTCTTTGTACTTTTATGTTTCTCTTCCTGAGCATTAACGATAGGTGTAATTGATAAAATGAACTTTATAGCTGATCTACACTCTATTATGACTTTGTTAAACTTTTAGTTCCTCTCTCGTATTTCGTGTATACTTTTCGTTCACGTTACACAAAACTGACTACTTCCTTTTTTATGATATCGGTGTACAGGAAGTCGTCGTCTACCCATAGTTCAGTTTATTTCTGTGTGTGTGTGTGTGAGAGAGAAAGAGAAGAATACACCTTCACACCTGAACTAGCAGACGACAGCCTTTGTGATTAAAAAGTCAAAGTTTTTGTCGTCATCATCATCGTTGTCGCTCTTTCCAATAAATCAGTAGTCTCTGAGTTTTTTGTTTTTGCGTATCAATTCTTACACGTAAGTAGATTATCGTATTGGCGTTTCGCTAGATTTAGAAAGAAAAGAAAAACGACAGAAAGATTATATTTACTTGACGCGCCTCCCTCCGTTATCACACTTTTCCTGCTTATCAGCAAATATTCTCGATTGATTTGCATTTATTAGGAGAGAAGACAGAGAGTTCTACTGAAATGGTAATAATCATAATACTTTTTTTTACTCTGTCTCTTTCTTTGAAAAATTTATTCTGTTTAATCGCATTACTTCTGAGGAAGTCTGTAGTGAAGTGCAGTAGTGATAGCACGCGTAAAAGATACATGCGTACTGTTAACCATTTTCTTCCTTATTACCTGCTAGACGTCAGACTGCTTAATTTTTATCCGGCATGGGAAATAAAGAAATAGGACTTCAATAAACTTGTGCGAACACATATGCGTATATTCCAGCATCAAGGGGCATGTGTGTGTACAGTTTACAAAAGTAATCAATAAAATCATTACCATTTGACGCCGTTTCATCTTTAGTTGCTAATCCATACACCGAGTTTTAATTTTTGTTTTTTCTCAATCAGGGATATTATTTTAATGATGGATCGTGGCTATCAGTGGAATCTAGGATGCGCATTTCGTCCTATTTGTGACTCGTTAGCTGGATGTACCTGCTTCCCAGTGAATGATGTTGTTCCCATCGAGAACCGTATTAGCACCCATAAGCCAACAAGTGAACTCTAGGGTATTCATTTTGTACTGCATTGATTTAGCTATAACACTTGGCTTGTGAATCAGGTTACAATTTTGCCTTAATGACTGAATTCAGTTCCTAGATTTCTTAGCATTTTAACAATATCACCACCAATCATGAAACCAATTCATCTCATCTCGAATCATAACTAGCTATGTAGAAATGAAAGGTAAGGCTAGTGGGACAGCCGAATATGTAGAGTAAATTGATTACCAAAGTTATTATTTTTTAATTAACAGTTTTAAAAATGCTTCTGTGTATATGTATGGTTGTTTTCTTTCATTCGTAGGTGATCTATGGCTTCAAAAGTCATTGGACTATGAACAAACACCAGCATACTTTTTAACGATCGAAGCACGTGATCGTGGCCAACCTCCATTGAGTAGCACAGCTGTGCTAACTGTCCATGTGGATGATGAGAATGATAATCGACCACAATTTATGGGTAGACAACGTATCCCAGAAAATATTGAACTGAATAAACTTGATGGATCATCATCTCTTGACTCAGATTTCTACCAGTATTACTATGCATTTAGTGTTGTTGAGAATAGTCGTAATGGTACTGTTATTGGTAAGGTAAGTTCCAGGAAAGTGTATGGAAAAATGGTATGTATTTTCCCAGTTTTTGTTCCTTTTTTATACTACAAGCAGGATTTTCAGATGTATTGTTGATGATAATACCGCTAAGCTGACTAAGTTGAGAAACAGTGATAAGCATTTTTCAGTAAAGTGAATTCTCTATGAACAGGAACTGCTTTAATCATATGCTGAGCTCTTAGAATACATCTATTGAATCAACATTATAGAACTATGAGGAATTCGCTGGAGATCGTCTAATTTCCTTTTTTTTTTTATTTATTACCTTTGTCTTATAGCTGAATGCGATTGATCCAGATAGTGGAGATAATGGTCGTGTAAGTTTCCATCTAGGCGAGGATGTTGATTTCTCTGCCTTGTTTAAGGCATATCAACAGGACTCAGCATACACAGAATATTTAACAGTCACTGAGGCTAAAACACGTTTCACTTTGGATTCAGAATCTGGTAGATTAATACTGGCATTCCAACCTGACCGGGAAGTAATCAGTGGTTATTGGTTGGCTGTACAAGTTGAAGATCATGGTAAACCGATATCGTTATCTAGTCTAACATTGGTTCATGTACAAATATTGGATATTAATGACTGTGCACCTACATTTGAAAAACCCAGCTATGAATTTTACGTGGAGGTAAGTTAACTATTGAAACACTTTGATTTGTTTGACTTAACAGAGAATATATATTAGTTTTAGCCGCAACTGTGTGTGTTTGTCTGTATGTCAGAACAGGGGGAAGAAAGGAATACATCTTCCAGGTTTTCATTCTCCTTTCACCTACCTTCATCATTTTCGTTTCTTGTGTAAATTCTCTTTCGTTTGTTAGTATCTTTAATTGATAAATAATGAAACAGTTGTACGAATAAACTGGATATTTGTTGGTGGTGGAGCTGACGGCAACAGTCATATTAATGATGCTGATGATGTTGTCTTCTATAAAGATAAATAGAAAGAAAAATGTGTTAGCAAATTAACGAAAAATGTCTTCATTTAAACTGATGAATAGTTCTTCTATTATGTGGATATGTCATAATTTATTTTTACTTTCTTCTCCTTCTACTTCTTGTGGCCTACTTACTGGATGATGAAGTTTGAAAATTCAACATTTATTTATGTTCATCTGTGTTTAAGGGAGTCTACCGTTCATTTTGGAAATTTCGAAAGTAGAGACTCTTGTCTGCTTTTTTCCAAAGTAACTAGAAAGACGTTTATAGACAATCGCCTTTTTCAAATTCTCCTCATTTCAGGTTAAAGTACCTTATTTTTATATAAATAGCTTGAAAACGAAATATTTGATTGGGTTGCACGATAACACCTAATTTGTTTAGTTAAACTTTTTCTCCTCATTACTTTATGATCAATCATTATGGATTATTTCTACTGTTATAGTGAGGATAGATAAAATAGAAAAACATGGGCTATTGGACTCTAACTCAGTGGTTGGATGATAACCTGGTCAACACAAGACTTGTCTTTTCTCGACGGTATCCAACGTAGAATTGTTAGACGTGCAGCACTGAAAAATCCCGAATTATGAAAAAAATAATTGTTCATTGTTTCTTGACTTTAAACTTTCTCTAGCTAATGTCGATTCTTCATGAGAGATGCCTTAGAATAAAAAAGACAATTCTAGAAGTACTCTTGGTTACTTATTGAGTTCATCTTCTGATTTTTTTTCAAAACCTGGTGAATTTGCCGATATTGAATGGGCTAATCTCTGTTCATCTTGAATTTAAATAAGTAATGCTTTTTCGCTGCCGATGGTTCTCCTTAGCTTACCGAACCAAAGTGTGCTGCACTTTTGAATACTGATTTTCTGTCATGGGTGCTTTTCTAGAATCTTGACGTGAAACAGTTGATACTTTTCATATGATCTTCATTATAATAGTCGTCCAAAAACGTAGAAGTAAGCAGTTAGAGTGGTTGTATACCGAAGGAATATTTCCGAGAAAAGAATCATCTCATGAACATTCTCTGTGCGTCATCATCTACGTAGTTCAATTTTGTGAAATTCATACTTTCGCTAAACTTTATAATTTAAAGTACTGCCCTTGTTTCTTGGATAAATCCCAGTAAAAATTTGCAAATTCTATAGGATATTCTTATGTAAACGTTTCAGCTCATTGCCTTAGTTAATCTTCAACCAGTGAACTGTAGATATCCAAATCGGTATCATCTTTTAGGCTTGGAGCTATGGTAGTCCCTACAATGTGGTCTGAAAAAGCTTTTCTTTCTGCTCTGATAAAAAGACCAAGAAAATAGTTTATCTGAATGACATAATGCTATGCATTTTCCTAAATTATACCTTCCACTTCCATGATTTAAAACAATCCTAAAACTTGTGTTGATTAAGAGCCTGTCACGACAGAGCCTATTTATTTCATGTATAATATGAGGGAATGCTACATAATTCAAAAAAATTTGGCATGGAAAACTGTTCTCATCGATAGCTCAAATATATCTCAATAGTTGGTATACATTTCTGTGTGCATTATTATTTCCGGTATTGTTGTTATTACTTCTACCACTACTACTATTAATATTATTGTTATTATTATTATGTCATAAACGTTCAGGTTGATCGATCTGGCAACATAAGTACATGTTCCGAAAAACAAGTGAGTCATTCATTTAAATATCTGATTAGCCTGACATATATATATATATATATATATATATATATATATATATATATATATCAATGATTACCAGTTTGAGTACCTAAGATAGCCGCGGTTTGATAGACTTTTATTGATACTGGGTGATGATTGAAGGTGAAATGAAAATGTGGGCTATGGCAAAATTAGAATCAGCAACTTCTCTAGTCCAGGTTGATTGGGACTAGGATAGGAAGTTATGGCTGATGAATCAGTTTGAATATGATGAACAGATAATAACGCATCATGAATTTTACATGACAATCAGGCAAAGTCCTTGGTGATTGAAGTGAGATTAGGATCTGATCAGAAGTGGGGTCGCGTAACTCAGTTGGTAGAATACCTGGCCCGAAACGAAATGATTACTGATTCTAAACCTGCCACAGCCCTGATTTTGATCCCACTTTTAATTATCACATAGTATCAACAATGATTATTCGCAAAGCGTGTATCTGATTCATTTCACAACAGCCTCACTAAACGCCATTTTGTTTGGTCAGAAACAAGAATGTTTTGTGCTTTTCTTGTTGTCATCAGTATTCGTTTGTTTTTGTTCACATCATCTTCATTATGGAGTGCTTTTGCATACTGATGTTACGATGCACTTCATAACGGTCAGTATTTGAAAAGAAAAAGCTATTTCACCTCATCTTATAAAGTGGCTTTAGTCAACATACATCGAACAAGTAGCCATTTTAATCTTATCAGAAGATCAGCAATCACTTGCGAATAGCATACTCGGGGACAATGACAAACAGATATATCATTGCAGCTAATTGCAGCAAAGTGCATCATTTAAGTTTACCATATCAGAACAGTATACTGCAGTCTGATTGCTAGGAGTATTAATATATGTTAAAGTAAACAAGTGAGGTAAGAGCGATAAAAAGGTAGAGAAAAGACTCTGAGTTGCTAATAAAATATTTCGGACTTCCCAAGCGAACATTCAATCGATACACTTTTACCATTCCGGTCACGTCACTAGATAACAATTAATTGTTAGAGTATTTAGAATACCATTTAGATAGCCAAGTCTCATCTTTCTTGCCCAGACCAGTAATTAGTTGATTCATAAATTTGTGCTCTTTTCTAATCTGATTGCGAAGAATAATAACTAGAATAAACTAGTGTTGCTGATAGCCTCACTTGTCTGGTAGGATAAGAAATGAATTTATTGAGTTGTATTCTGCTATGTAATAAAATTTGAGTATGAACTGCTGCTTATTCTAATGAAAAAGCTTTGACATTCACAGTGAAACATTCTTCTTTTGACTTTCCTGACGCTTTGGAATTATTTTAAAACTTACCTATATAGTGAGCAATAATATTCCTGTTTTGCAATGCTATTTACCTTAATGCACAAATTTGTCGACTTCTTTCTTGTTGTTTTCTTATGCTACAGTGATCATGTAAAATATCAATTCCTTGCTAATGTAGCGTACTTAGAATTAAAAGTAAACATTATTGAGAGTGTGGGTAGGAAGTATTTTCCCATCTTTCACTGTATCACTAAGCTTGAGTTTAGACTGTGCTTGAAAAAAACCCAGTGTTTTTGTTATTTTATAAAAAAACATTCATGAATGGCACGGTCTTTTCGAAGTTTTAGTGTATGTATGCCTATGACCCGAAGATAACCACAATTCTGGTACCGATCTATTTCGAGATAGCATCTGGAAAACCGTCGACCGAGAGGTAATTTGGAAACTGCTTTGATACTACGGAATACCGCAAACCTTTATCAATTTCATTCAGCAACCATATGAAGACGCCGCATGTCAAGTAATTCACGATGGGAAGCTCAGTGATGCTTTTGAAGTGAAGACAGGAGTGAAACAAGGTTGCCTACTATCCCCCATGATATTCCTGATTGCAGTGGACTGAATAATGTAGCAAACAGTAGGGAGCTGTGAGAAGAGGGGGATACGCTGGACTGCAGAAAAGAACCTAGAAGATCTGGATTTCGCCAACAATGACTTGTGTCTGATGTCACACAAACTTGAAGATCTGCAGGCGAAAACTAACAAGTTGGCAGAAGAGGCAGGGCAGGGCAGCGAAGACGGGACACTATTCAAGTGAATGTAGAGAAGACGGAGGTGATGAAGATACCCGATCAGCACCACCAACGACAACAAGTTCCAATCACCATCAACGGAAGAAACTTAGAGGAAGTGACCTCCTTCCCCTATCTAGGCAGCACTGTTCCAACTACAGGTGGCACAGACACAGACGAGGATGTCAAAGTCAGAATGGGAAAAGCAAGACAGTTGTTCATTAGCCTGAAACCATTATGGAGATCTTCTGCATTCCACTCAGCATGCGGAACAAGATGCGGATTTTCAACACCAACGTCAAGTCAGTGCTTCCATGTGATGGTTGAGAGATTTGGCGCGTTACGAAAGGGATTTCCAACAAACTACAGACATTCATCAACAACTGCCTACACTGGCTCGCTACTGAAGATCAGATGGATTGCCAGAAAGAATAAGCAACAAGGGTGTCTGGCTGGGAACGAACCAACCAAGAAGCTATCGCTGAACGAATATTCAGAAGAAGGTGGAAATGGACTGGATTGGGCATACACTGAGAAGGCCGACTGGGGACATCACGCGCCAGGCCAGGCACTCGAGTGGAACCCCGATGGGAAGCGACGAGTTGGGTGTCCGAGGTGAGGGTAACATGGAGGAGATCGTGCGAGGAGGAGATGAGTTTTGTGCTGTCGTAGAGTGAGGTTTAAAAGATTTCAGGGAACAGAATGCGTTGGAGACGTGTTACTGAAGCCCTATGTTCCATTAGGAACCAGAGGGACAAATAATAAATAATAGTAATAATATAACGTAGGAAACCACTGACAATTGAAGCCAATGATCAAATGTTTCATTTTACTTCCGCATTATCCAACAGTATACATTCATGATATCATACAGCATTAAGTTCAGGGCATTAGAAATACATTTTTTTTAGTGGAACAGATACACACTCATAAGAGAGTATCACTGTTCTCCTATCTCAACAGTTCTCTGTAGGTTGGATATGTGAACAATATATTCCAACCCATTAGCAGAACTGCAGTTTGTTCGTCAATAAACATTGTGTCTGCAAGCCTTACTCTGCGAGATTTCATAAGTGATCATTGTTGAGATGTCAGCCATTCAATTAGTAAACTGATTAAAGCTTATCAGATCAGTTAGTTCTTTGTAAACCAACCAATTAAAATAGTCTTAAGTCAGTAGGTACACTTATTTGAATTGTTCCTCAAAGTCAGAAGATCAGTTCGAAGATACAGATTTAACGAGGTTTTTTGAAGGCATCTTTTCCAGTATCATGTACAACTGAGAATTCCAAATAACTATTTCGGTTTTCTAGGCGTATCCTCATTTCCTAGGTCGACCGAACGTCACCGACCATAAGGATGACTTCTAATTACGCACATAATCATGAAAACAGTGTGCACTTCTACTGGGCATGGATGACATTGAGTGCGTGGCTTGGGTTATCCCATTGAGACTGACTGTATTCCACACTCATCGCTGTATTTATATCAGCCTTCCTCCCACCCACCCAGATATTTCAGCCCTTAATGCTTGGGTAGTTAGCAGACATTTGACTAGTTTCAAGAAGTATATTTTCTGCTGTCATGTATAAATGAGATTTCCAAATAACCACTACCTAAACTGTGTTTTATGGATGGTGACGTAGAAGAATTTCATTTCTCTTGAAGATAATAAAATCGTGTCAGTTGACTAGCATTTTAATGCCATCCTAACTTCTATTATTTAAAAGAAGATTTCTGGAGTTTACTTCTCTTGTCTCATTCCAGTCTCCTTTTTTATCTAACAGTGGAAAGTAGCAAAGATGCTTGCTGTGTTATGTAGAAAAATCATAGTCGATGTTAATGATGTACAGTCTAAAAGTCTTTTTGCCTAGTGTTTCACTTTTCTTTTTGCAATAAAAGCAGTGTTATGCAATAAAAATTATTTAGGAACCTTTTATGTTAACAGGAAGATCATATCAGGTAACATAAACTAAGAAAATGTGTACTCCGAATGAAATTCATGGGGAATTATGCATGTCAAACCAGTTTATTTCCATATTCCAATAAGTTTCTTGGTCAGAAAACATCTAATTAAAGACGAAGACTGATTCTTCAAAAGTTAAAACTTTACATAAATCTACCTCTAACTGTTACATTTTACATGTATTCTAAGGATTTACCACTGAAACGCGCATTGTAATCCTCATCAGCATAGTATTTTTCCCATCAGGCTCTCACTACTTTTTTTTCCCAATTTCTTTGTACAAGTATGGATAATTTTATGCTAGAAATATCTTAATAATTTCAATTGATAGCCATTTTCTTATTTTGATTAAAAAAATATCCATTTTTAGTCTTACCTAATTCAGTTTTTTTTTCATTAGTCTTCACGGTATGTAAAAGGCATATATTTACGTATTGTATGAAAACGAGGCTAAAACTAGTCTAGGTGTTAAGTTTTTGCGTGGAAATTATATGAAAGTGCTAAAGAATCGTGAGGAATTTCATTAGAGTAGTGTATACATTCATTTTGATGGTAGTTTTGAAAATGTACCATATTAACTTGACAATTCGACATCTACTCTACAAAATTGTTTATATATATATATATATATATATATATATATATATATATATACATGATATAGTGTATTTTTCAAAAATCATTTTTAAACTTTACTGAAAAGTAATGAAGAACAGGTTATATTTCATTTTTTTTTATAGCGGGCAGCTTAATAAATTTTCAATAGTCTTTCTACACATTCCTAATGAGTAAATGTCATCTCCTATGTTTAAATGCACGACATTTGTTTTTGAACAACTGTGTTGCATTCGTTTTTCACAGCCTATGAAAGTTATTTTACCTTTTCTTCTGATCATAATAATAATGATGAATGTGTATGCATGTAGCTTAACTTTATTTTACATGTTGTACTGAATTACATTCTTCTCACTTCTGTTTTACTTCTCTCGTTTTTTTCTTTTTACACCAATGCAAATGTATTGAAAAACCTGGATTCCTATAATAATGAAGTGGTTCACCTTGTTGATGTTGTAAAGCGTACAACTTAGAAAGAAAACCATTGTATTAATTCCATTGATACTTGGGGCCAACACTTTTCTACTAGTTTAGATCTGTGGTTCATAGGCGTAGGCAGTCGAGTTTGAATCCACCCCACCTAGTGAGGTTTGGGTAGCCGGCTGGTATCATGAGTTCTTACACAATAGATATAGCTCATCATTTAGTGCTCAAACCTGTAAGTGCTTCCTGATGTTCAACTTCAATAGTTAGTTACTGATCCATATATCTACCATATGACAACCAAATCTTTGAGTAATGAGTTTAAGCTATTGTTTCAGCTTCGTATGTATTTTGTGGTTATCTCTCTAGATCTAACTTTCCAGCATATGTTATTTCAGAGACGTTTTCCGTCGGATAGAGTAGTACTACCGTCTCTTATTCCATAGGGATGTTTCAGGATGTAGTTTTGTTCGCCTTTTCGTTATTAAAAGATACAAATAATTCATCTCCTTTACTGAAAAACAAATAAATACGTAGTAGTTCGGGGAATTTCTGTAAGAAATTCCCTCATTTTAATGGTTACCTCGTAAGTATGCAATAACTGATTTTTTTGTGTGCTTGAAGATGCGTATGTTTTTCCACCTTCTGGTGCCATACTGTTTCAGATGAACAGCAAATAACTGATTGAAATCTGTTTTTATGTGTGTAACAGTTTTAAGATATGCATCTTGAAACAGTTATAAAAATTAGTATAGTTATGAATTTACTGTTCTTTTTTCCAAAACAAAAACAATTTTAAAATTGAATATTGGTATATTACTCTCATGTTTTGCGACCAGTTATTGCGCAATCAAATGGTTATTGCAGCACAGTCAGTCTGTGCATGTGCTGCATTTATTCTTTCTGAGAGCTAGAGATGCGATAGGAAAAGATCAACTAATTTCTAATTCACCAAAGACCTACATTCATAAAATTATAATTTGCTTATATCAGCATATCAGAAGATTGATTGAAAACTCAGGGTGGTCAGATTCGGAGGTGAAAACCGTTTATGATTATAAGTTGGTATTCATCACGAACTGATGTCAGTTGGAGAACCATTGAAAACCTGGCAGCACTGGACATCTTTCATCCTAGTATGGGACTCCTCAGCAGTGCGCCCTCATAACCCCGCCAGGGCTCGAACCCAAGACCTTCAGATTCTGTGGTGATTATGTTACTATTGAGCCACTGGATCGGAATCCATTGGTTCACACTTTCGTAATTCTTTCAGTTCGCAATATGACTATGATTATTATTTTCTAATTTGCGAAGTTGTAGGTTAGTTGAAGGGATGCTTTGATGCGTGCAGAGAACTGTAGGCCTGCTAACTTAAGCGTTTTTGAGAGGTGGGGGGGGGTTTGAAATGATTGGTCAGAGACATTGGTTCGAATGACTTTATTGATGTTAATGTATTTGCCTACTTGTTGTCCTCCTAAAATCTTTAGGTACTCTATTACTTTTACTTGTTCCGGTTGTATCCCTGTCGCTTATCTAGATTTCTTCCTGTTCTTGTTGTTTATTTTTCCTCTGCTTTTTAACAGTGTTAGTTATTCCATGGATTCAATTCCTGTTAGTGTCTATGTGGATATATCTGTTTTGCCTGTTTGGTTACTTTAGATATTGTTTTCATGTGGACACCACTGGTGTAAACGTACGAATTGCCTATCTCCCCGTAAATACGAATCAACTTATTAATTTACACCTTTCTTCCTTTCCAACTGCTCATCCCCCTCACTCTTTCATACACATTTCTGTCTTCTTCCGTTTAAACTTATAATGATCTGAACCAGTGGTCTGTTTTATCACTTTGTGTATCGTTATAGCGTGTTAGCAGTTATTTACGGCTGGTGTGCGTAAAGTTATGTTATTTGATTGCGAGACAGTAATTTAATATCTTGTGCATCCTGCTGGATTTAACCTTCACTTAATCACCACCGGCGACTAGTCAGTTTCTTCTGAGGGTAAACACGTGATCTCATTGTTCATCGAATATAGTTCAGTTAAGTGTAATTTTTATTAAGTTATCTGCTGACTTTTAGAGAATAAAACTGTAAACTGTTCAGAAATGTAGCAAAGTGTTGATTTATAATTTGCCTCTAGTTCGCATAAATGCATCTATATAATAGGTTTTCTGATCTGTACTAACAAATGTTTGCATTCATACAATTCAAAATTAAATGCATTTCTTATAATGGACCTGTTACACAGTTACTCAATTATACACAGTGAAAGTAGGTCTCGAGAAACACTTCTTTACAGTTGAATAACCCTATATATCTTCAGAAAATAATGTGTGCTTAACTTTTGACACCACAACCTGCTTATTTGTGATCGTATTTCCAATAAAATTACAGACACTCAGAGCACAGTCTTTAAAAATGTCGTAGAAGAAGTTTAATGGCGTCTGACTAAACACGCTAGGATTATGTGAAGACTTAATTATATACTGCTTGTTTATGGTCTGTATATAATTTCGTATCATTTGCTGCAAATAAGTATCCTATTCAACTTTAATGCAATTCTATGTAGATATTTTTCCTTTTTCTCTGCGAAATAGAATTCGTATGAGGTGAACTGTCAGTCTATATCTGGTGGTAATGTCTTAATTGGTCGATTAAGACTAACAGATGCTGACGCTTATCCAAATTCTGGTCCGTTTACATGTCAACTGGCCAATTCTGGCTTCATGCAAACTGTACTACATGATACGTCGTCTAGATCGGGTACTATAACCACTGGCAGTGCACTATTTTCTGTTCGAACTATGGAAAATAATCAGAGCAACTCTCAGTCCAATGGTAATGATCATGCAAGAAATGAAACAGATTTTAGTAGAGGAGAATGTTTAGTGTATGCCGTCGATAAGTTACCTGTAAGTTAGTAACATTCACCCCGTTTATAACTGTTTTTTATTATGCGATTCTTATCTATGTGCAGTAAGCTTTTTGTCATTTCAGGTTATTCAGAGCAGTTTGAGTAACGCTGGTTATATCTCTTCTAAGCACTCGACCCCACTGTATGAACGTATGACCGGACTTCTTTGTGTTTCTTTTCAGCTTCTGCTCTGGTGTATGTGTATTTATTTCATTTGTAGTACATAAGAACCAAATTTTCGATTAAAAGTAAGGGTAAAACTTTGGTACTGGATTAGAGTATGCTTCCATACCAGGTTGTTTATTTAAGATAGCACACAGCGATATAGTATTATTTACCTATCGATATAGCACTTGAAGTAGTCAAATCGAGTTCACCACTAGCCATGAACTCAATAATAGAACTAGTTTCCCCACTAAATATTATCATGTTAGGATAAAGCTACTCGTAACTTCTCAATTCAAAACAAATATACCAATAAGCAGAAGAAGTAGAGATGGGATCACCAATATCCTCCGTCGTAGCACAGATATTATGGACAGCTTGGAACAAATGGCATTAAGAGTATTTCATCGCAACTCAAAAGTAAAACGAAGATATTTAAGTGACACATTTACTGTTTTCAAATCGTAACATGCCCAGAATTTTTTCACAGACATTAACTCGATAGTTGATGGAATCCAATTCACTTCTGAATTAGAAAATGAAGTTGAGTAATTACTTGTATTGGATTCCGAAGTCAAGAAAAGAGAAGGTGGCAATTTATATACTAGTGTTTGTAGGAAATCAGCACATTTGAATGAATACTTGTATTTCACATCGTCTCATCCTATATCTGTTAAAGTGGGCTTGGTTAAATGTTTGAGTAATCGAGTCACTAGCTTGACCAGTTAGGAATTCAGGTATGTCGAAGAGACTACTAATTAAATAACTAACCAACGGACTTTATTAAAAAATGTTTATACGAACTCATAAGAGAGAACAGTAGCATGTGCCAAAATGCAACACATCTAAGAGGGAACTTAAATTCCTCGTTGTGTTCCCACATACAGAAGAGATATCAGAAAGTCTGCATAGGATTTCTAACGATACTGGAGTTATGGTGGCACTTGGACCCACAAACTCATTCAGAGGGAAACTTCTAAAACTGAAAGATCCAATAAGCTCCACTGAGCAAAATAACCTTATACTTCAAATACCATGTAATGGTTATGAGGTCAGATAACCAATCCAATCTAACCAGGATAACAGAGCACAAAAACGTAATAAAATAATGAATGGTAAACCCTCCTAAGATAAGTTATGTATATAAGCTATGTGTGCATAGACTCACATACTATGCAGTGGGATAAGATGAAATGTTTGAAATCCACTATAGGTTGGTAGAGAGAAAGAGATTGATTACCGAATCTTTGTTCATCGAATCAATGCCTACCACATGCAAAAGGAATAATTCACCACGTACGGCATATATTCGGTAAATTCTGATAACATTTGATTGGTGGTGTCTAACAGGGGTATCTAACAGACGCCTTTCGTCCTATTTGGAACTCATCAACTTGACCTATTTGTATCCCAGTGAGCGATGTTCCCACTGTCTTGAAAACATCACCCATCCCTTCCAATGCCAGAGCATTATCCAGTAGACTACTGGTTCACAGCAGCCACTTATTTGTGCAACGGGCATCTATTGCTATTAATAGATACTTATACTTTTCTCTTGGTTGTTATTTTTGACCAAACTGATAGGTCTGTTTTGGCAATATGAGCACCTGTGTGGATGCTTTGATATTGTACTAGAAATGAAGGAATGACTGGCTGTTTGACTACAAAAATGAAGTTTAAAAGATGTATGATTTCCTTGGTTGTGGTAAAGTATCTTCAAGACATTATCCAGTAAATAATACTGCATCCTCATGTGCTATATCAAACAGATAATTCAATTTGGATATACAGTTTATATATATTGAATAATGGCAGAAAATCAAGTCATCAGCTGTAATCAAGTCTAAAGTATTTATTTCAATAAGACTTCATGGTTGAATTTTAATTGGTATTCAGTAAAATTGTTACAATTTAGAAAGAATCCAAACTCTGTTAGCGTATTCCACTATGTTCTGATACATAAGTGTGGTACTCAAATGCTGGATTATTCAACCAATTACATTATAAACAACTTTGTAGTTTTTTTCAACAAATATAACGAATGAAAGACAATGACTCGTACATCTATTCCGTGATATCTAGTAATCTTGGTGGGTTGCCGTGTTCTTGATAGTTGGAATGAGTTTCAAACCTTTCACCACTTGGTTCAAAGTAGGTGAGGCGGGGGTATAAACAACGAGCCACATTTTCACATATACACAATTTGATTTATAAATCTATTTTCCTACATACGTTTAATGCAAGAGTTCTTGTACCCAGTCGCCGCATACAAATCTATTTATCGGATCTTTAACCACACATTTTGTATTTACTCGGCTTAGGAATCTCAATAGCGTGAGCATAGTTTGAATTGTGAGCCAAATAACTGTTACATTTCATCTCATGTTAGGGTCTACATTAATGTTTTATTTAATATTCTCTGTCGTCATAATAAAATATTTACACGTATTTCAGCAATCCTTCCTGTAATAGGCTGTACCTATTTTAAACGTCCATTTTGTTTAATATTCATTTTACCCTAAATCGCTATGCAGAAACATCGTGAATGTTGTTGTTTAATGTGTACTTCCATCCTTCAAAAAATATTACGTGCAGATGAAGGTTTTTAAAGTGCTTTGTAAACTCTTATGGATTTTATCACTTGATATTTATTTGTGTCACACAATAGGTTGGCAGTCAAAGTCTAGTGATACGAGCCAATGACAATGGTTTAACTGCATTGCACACCACAACTACAGTTACAGTTCGTGTCATTCGGATGTCAAATCTACCACCGGAAATAGTGAATACAAATTCCACCTTAATTTATTATCATGGTGCATACAATGCGAATATAATGAATAATAATGCTGGGTCAACTGCTTCTAAACAAGAGCAGTCAATACAAAATAAAGATGCAGTTATAGCTCGAGTAACAGTAAAAGATCGCACAACCCATGATCGACTATTTTTTGAATTGATAAACGATGATACATCAAATTCAAACTTATTCTCAGTTGACCAGTATGACGGAACTATTCGCTCCGCTGCTACACTTTCATCTAGTGATTCATCTTCACGTTCAAGTAAAGCTGGAACGAATTCACTCCACTACTCACTTATTCATCTTGATTCGGGTATTTATCCTCTGCGTGTACGCGTTACAAATGGAACACTTACCTCTGAGGCTGTAATTCATATTAAAGTGAGTCGTCATGTTGTGTATTTGAATTGATTTCATTAAAGCCAGACGTTTTTTAGAGCTTTTCGTTGTATAAATAGTTCTACAAGGTGGTAAATGCATTTGTAGATGAACATTTCTGTGTTTATATGTTTCTGTGTGCCACACTGCTCTGTGGACAAATAAAATAACTTTTTTTACTGTCGTTATTCTCTTCATTTACCAGGAAACTCTGTATGACTATTCTTGTGTTGTATTCTCTGAGCTGGGTGGTTTAGTCGTGAAGATTTTATTGTCTTTCTAGACAGCTTCATCAACACTAACTTTAATGTGAAGTGAGCTGCTGAAATCTCCCCATGAATGATTGACGGGACTTGTCCTGACGAACTGGTTTGTGATTGATTGTTGTGTCATCGATTGCATAGATTTTCTTGGCGTTTTTTGGCATGACCTCTGACCTTTTTGTTGTTTATCATTTTTCTTACTGACTGATAGATTTTGTCAGTGTCAGTTATACATCAGTTACTGACTAACCTGAATGCCAAACGTTTAGGAATTCTGATATCCTTAGTGTTTCCTCTATCCAGAATTTCTAAATTTCCAAGTTTGATTTAACTTTTAGTGGTACAACAACCAAAGAAAACAACCAATCACAAACCAATTCTTCAAGGCCAGCTAGTAGATCACTCATGGAGAGATATTGTTAGCTCACTTCACATTGAAGTTAGTCCCGATGATATCTAGGAAGTAAATAAAAGCTTCACCATTAAACCACCTAGCTCAGATAACACAACACAACCAAGACCATCCACCTGAGCTACAAATATATATATATATATATTATCAATCATAAGTTATATGAAAAAACGTAGCTTGTTATTAGACCAGTTATCTTATCCTTATATATTTGATAGCATATGAGTTACCACTCTTGTTTTTCATATCATCGTATCCCCGTGTATGCTAAGGTAACGAAACATTTTTTCAAGTTGTCACAGTTGAGACACTTCTCAGCTGCTAACCAGATCTGAATTGTTCATCAATTAATGATTCCATTGTCTTTTATCCCACTTTAGACAACTTTCCCGATTTTTAAATTCCCATCATTATCCTTATTTCACAGAAAGTATGTCAGTCAGGCTTATTTTATGAATGTTAAGGTACAAAGTGTGATGAACTTGAAATGCAGTGAACTGTTAAAGAATAAATGCACACGCGTCCACAATATGAATTGTATATATATTTCTTTTTCAGGGGTTGACTAAGTTTCAACGAAGCTGTTTCAAGCTAAGCCAATTGTTTTCTATTTATTCTTCCCTGAATGGTCTTTTCAGCTGTTTTTTTTTAAGTTTTGAATTTTTAGCAGGAGTTAGACTAGGTCCTTAGTTTCATGTTCATCGTTTTTAACCTGAGAATTCCTAAATTGTTAAGAATAGACGCTTCAAAGTGCAGTTATGAATAAATAGTTGACTTCCTGTTAAGCCTTATCCTACTATGTAATAACTAGCGCATTTAAGCCTGATTAGTCGGCTTCATTGAAGTCAAAATTAGCTGATACCTATAGTTGGGTGTGCTGTCTAACAACTGATAAATAGTATTATTGTATGAGGATATATTTAAAGATGAAAGAATCATTTTGGATACTCATTTTTGTGAGAATATAAGCCAGAAATCGAATGGATTTGTTTTTACCGATATCGATTTACAACTGCATGATCCAAAGATTTTCACTGACTCCGTGTTATATTTGCTTACCATACATAGGACGAAGATACACAGTGAGTATTGCTGTATAACTGTTCAGAAAGATAGACAAAATCTACGTTAAATTTGGCACAAAGTACATTGGTTCAAGTTGCCACACCTCACAGTAGTATACAAAGAATAAATGTATAGAAAGACTGACATTAAGTTGGAAGAAACTATATGTTCAGGTTTTAGAAGACGTCACAGAGTGAATGCATCTGCGCTATTGTGGTGGATTTTCAGCCAGTTCACCTAGGATATTTAACCATTGCTTCCTATTGTTTTGAAAACCCCATGCTACAAAGTTCAGATCAACAGTCAGAGACTTCATGGGCTGGTGCCACGTCCTTGGTCTAGCCACCCTGAACCTTCATTCAAATCAGTCCTACTTTAAATGATGTTGCACATCGAAGTAGGTGGTGGCTTGGCATGCACAGTGCATGCCCACTGAGGGTTCATAATTTCACTGACTGACTAGCGTGTCTTGTATTGTACCATTCGCTTAATCTCAATGCGGCTCACACGGTGATCCCAGCACACGTGAGGAATACTACGAAGACACCACTGGTAAAAAACCTGTAGTCTTTTCACATTTTCTACTTTGAGCTTCCATTTCTCAGTTGTATTATAAACGGAACGAACTACAGTGCAGTATACTCTTTTCGGGGAAGATACAACTTCCCAAATAGGCGAAGCGGTCGACACATCCCACCACTTCACTCACTATCCTTATACTAGGAGTAGTTGTAGGCCAGTACTGAAATATCATTTCACCCTTGATAGGTGCGAAACACATGACTGTTTGCTATACTTATAAGACAAACAAAGGAATAGGAAGTCACTTTTTTCATTCATAAATTCTACATCCATTTATTCTTTGCTTTTCTTATATAAACCATACTAATATGGCACAATATAATAACCTACAGGGTTCATAATAGTGACATGCCTTGTGATCTTGTACCAGATACATTTACTTCTATAAGATAATGCATATGGTAGTAATCTTCGTTATGAAAAGACTGACTATCGAAACCGACCAGTGATTATATTGTTTAGTGTAAAATCATGGGAGCAGGAAGTCATTTTCAATTTCCAATATTTTAGCAAACTAGCCTGCATGACAACAGCCTGTCGATTAACTTTTTTCCCTGTTTCTTAAAAATACACAAAGATAAACGAAACTATTTAAACGGATTGTAACTAGAGTTGATTAATTTCATACTACTGAGAAGAATTAAAGTGTCACTTTCACTCCATATAGTACACGTAACACGAAACGGCTGTCCAGTGCTCCCAAGTTCTCATTGGTTCTCCAACTGATTTCAGTCCGTGATGAATACCAGCCTGAACCCATATTATTATCATAGTGTAAAAATACTTGAATAATATCACCTCTTTGATAATAATTTCTGTGATAAACTCAGTAACTGCTGGAAAATTGCGTTTTCAAAGTTTTGGACTTCGCGTTGGTCCCAACATTTATAAAGTAGAAGTTGTAAAAGATTTATTAAAATGAGGATTAAGTAAACACAGCTTCATTATTTCTTAGTATCAGATCGTTGTACCATTCCTAATGTTTTATGATCAAATAGAACTTGAGATTTATCGAAAACTTGCAACCTATCAAATTTTATATATGTGAAGTATCTCACTGCCTACAGCTTTCAGCTCATGATAATTTCTATTGCATACTATAATCTGTTTTCTTAACTAAGTGGTTTCTGAAAAAGACACTAATGGAACCATAACTGAACTTTTTAAAACTACTCAGATGAGAGAATCGCTTGCATAGATTGTGCAGCTTTTTGCAGTTCTTATCTACACATAGCCGAATCATTAACAATCCACAACCGCGAAACTGAATTCCGTGTTGAAAAACATTACGTACATTCATTAGCTTTACCATAACCGAAGTAGGATTTTCTTCTCTCTATAGGAACTTTCTTTTCTACTCTTGAATAGTAAACTGTTGATTTAATAATGTTAAAAATCTCCATTATCAAAATTAGAGGACATGTAAGTGAACGATATTGTTTTCAACTACACAAGATTTCTCATTATAAAACATCAAACTAATCATGGTGAATTCTTTATTCCGTGGTAACAAGGAAATGCAGTATGAAAATAGTAAATATCCAGATGATAATTATAGTAAGAGTAATAATGATTACCTCATAGATGGTCAGAATAATAGGAACAGCATAGAACTGCAGACATTTGAGCAATCGATGGCGGTCAAAACTTCGAAAAATAAATATAAGAGTAAAACTTGGGCACTGTAGTAGAATGCATTTCCATTTTAGTTGTCTTGTTAGATGTACCACATAGTAGAAAGTATTATTTACTGGATTACTTATCTGACACAAATTGTTGTCCATAATCGTATCCAGATAAAAAACGTTACGTAATACTTAGGAACGTGTGTACATAATTAAAGTCTAAGCAAATCAGCATGCTTGTAAAAGGGGTGAAGAAAAGGAAGGGATGAAGAATTGAATTTGCCTTTGAAGCCACTTATTGATTTTCCTCTAGCCAAGGCAAAGATAAAGGTTACGCAAACTTTTTCTGCACTCAAAGACTAGGGTTGTTTTCCCTAATTCTTATATCCCTACTATTTTAATATACGAGTTAGAACTCCATTCGAAAGATTTTGTGAACTGCAATAGATGATTTTGAGCCCTTTGATCTTATTCACTGGTAGCCACTGTCGACCATTTGCGACATAATTGAACTTCGTATTGACTTCACTTGACCCTTTCCTAGCTACGACGTTTATTAAGTTGCCTAGGAGTACGCCCGATATAGCTTTTTCCGTGGAGCAGCTCAACTGGCAAAACTGGACAGCTTATCTTTTGTCTCAGCAACAGCGATCGGCCGACTAGAAAACGATAATGCTAACAGCAGAGAAGGCTCTACTGATGGTTCTAGACAGCTTCTGAGGTTGAACTGCACCAGCTGAGTCCCTCTTAGATTGAAGCTTCATGAATGATGACTTCTTTTGGACAGCCATTTGTTCGGATTTCCTACACATTTTGCCCATGTATCTCTTATAAAACTATGGGAGTAACCCACTTCCACCAGCATATTAGGAAAGAGTTAAACTGCTTTTGTATCAAATTACCGGAGCAGATCCTTCTAGCCGTGCTTACAAGACATTTAACTAAACGTATCTTATATTGAAAGAGCACAAAGCTTAGGAAGTGTATATACTATCTTGTAGATATTGTCATTCTATACATCCTCTACTGCTTGACTCATCATCTCTTTTGATTAATAGGACATCTGAAAGATGTAACATATTTTCCGGTTCTTCTTCATAAGGGAAAATGAGAGAGGGATTCACTTCACTGAATTGCTTTTCTCGGCTTTCTGATCAAGGACAACGAAAGTGTTGTCAATATAACTCTTATACATATTCAGATTATCGATGACATCTTTCAGCAGTCCATTCTCAAGTGTAGAAAAAAAATCAGCCAGTATTAGGTCTAAAAGTGAACCGATGGGGGACTCCATCACTTTTTCCGTAATATGTATTATTAAGGAGAAAATGCATATTTATGGTGCACCGTACAAGTAATTGTTTCAGACTAAATTCTGGAAGTCTTACACTAATCTGTTTTTCCGAAATCTGCTGACAAATGAATTCTACTCTTTCAATACGTTATACATTAGTGAATAAAGAAGAAATGTCTACGGATATCATATGTTTCCCGTTCATATTCGCCTTTTTTAACTCGGAGATGAAGTCGAATACATCTTTAACACTAGTCTTTACAACTTGCTTGTGTAGAAGGTTTAGGACTTAAATTAACCACTTCTCGATTTGATGACAAGGGAAATTGGACACATCTAAAACCAGACGAAGAAACATTTGTGATTTGTGAACTTTAGTTGGGCTATATAGCCGCAGTGTTTAATACCCTGCGGGTTTCCAGTGTTTTTAAATCAGACTGTGCAGCTTTAGTAAATGAAATCGTTGAAAAGAAAATTTTCTCTACTATTATATCTTTGTTTTTTTTAGTTTTCAAATGGTGTGTCGACCTTATAAAATGCGTGATTTATTTGAGTGTTTCAATCAAATTTGACACAACTTGGGATTTTTTTGCTGAGTTTACCAACACACACACACAGTGATGTTGAGCCGTTTTGTAGACGAGAAAAATATCCCTTCATTCTCTAAATCTTATGTAATGTAGCAGTCTAACTTCACATGGATCAGGGGATTAGCTTCGCAGTTTGCAACGAGTAAAGCTGGAAAACCTGTAAAGGTTGCTTTATTACATGAGTGTTCGATATTTGATTTTTTGAGCAGCTCTTTAGCTGACACTATTACCTTTCTAAATCTGAAAGGAAGTCAGGTAGATGTTACCATTTAAATCCTATACAAAAATTAGACTGATCATGTGAAATTGTTAGACATATACAGTTCATATTTGACTGTTTTATCTATTAGAAAATAAAACAAAATAAAATTGAATAGTTGGTCGACATTTGTTTGTGCACGTTGATAGACCCCTTTATGCTTCAGTGAATACCATCTCATCTAACATTTTTATTGCTTTTTTTATATGTTTGATAATCTATCAATTATCAAACTTATTTATACGTAACTTTTGATTTTATACATCGAGTGTGTCTTCTCCTTCTTCCTCTTCGTTGGTTCTCTCTTCGTTTGTCCTCTATTTTGAGCTTTCTCTTTCTCTCTCACATCATGTCTCTGTTAAGAACTTCTTTTCTTCAGGTATCTTTTAATTATTTATTGCATGACTAACATTCTTATTTGGAATAAGTTTCTATTTCAGATTGATTTTGTATATGAGTGTATGTCCCTCTCTACGTGTTTCAATCTGATTATTTTACATCTTGGGTAGAACAGTTGAAAAGAGTTCAAGGGTCTAATGGACATTGAAGTGTTCAGTTGGATGGTCATTAGGAAGATTTGTATGGGTACAGGAATAAGAAATGTACACGAGAGAAATATGGAGGTGGGACAAGCATTTGTCATTGCATGAAATCTGTCGTAAGACATTGACATACGAAGGATAACTTTACCATTCAAAGGTATTAATTGTTTACAGTTAGTAACTTGTATGTGCTTAAAAGCCAGACATGCTCTAGAGATTGTGATTTATTTTCTGTCTTGCTCACTGTTAATTTATTTTCATTGATGATGGTGCACTCCTTTGCAATAATTTAAAATAATGCTTCTAGATGGATATCCCGGGGGCTAATGAGAATCTATGACCTGTGGTGTCAGCCGGTCGGAAGTGAAGTAGCTGCCAACTGAAGATCTTAGTAAATAGTCAAGTTATATCGCGAATTGAAAAAAAATAGGAAACTGTGGACCATTGGATTTCAACCCAGCGGCTGAATGGTTAATACTTTCACTGCGAGCGGGACGCGAAGATTGTGAGTTCGAACTCTGGTGGAGTCATGGGCGTACACTACTTAGGAGTTCCATACTACGACGAAACAGCCGCCTAGTGCTTCCGGTTTTTCAGTGGTTCTCCAACTGATGTCAGTCAGTGATGAATATTACCCTAATGATTAGATAATTTCTAATATAAAACGGAATTTTCACATGGTGGTCTTGTGATGAGAAACTTGATTTTCAACCAATTAGCTTTTCAGTTCATGCCTTGCTTCATTTGCTTTGTTGCAGAGCATCTGGTATTATCTTGGAGCCTCGCAAGTTGAGTGTTGTTGATAGTCTTTACGTATACTTAGAGCGGATCACTGAGTTGCATTATTCACAGCTCTCAGGTTAATGTGACAGTGTTACAGCGTTAACTTTTTCTGAACAAACCTTTTACTCGCAACCTTGATGTTTACTTTACTACAATTTCTAATTGAAAGTTATACTTTTACAAAATAGACCACTGAAAATGATGAGGCTAATCAACGAATTACTTATTTACCTTCATTTCTCCTAATTTTTATGTTGCTTTTTCCTTATTTTGTGTTACCCTTTTAAAGCAACACGAAACGGGCACATATATATATATATATATATATATATATAAAATGTATCTGGGTAAATATACATAATGTTTCCAAGTTTCGTGCTTATCTGATGATTAGTCAGTCAGTCATATAATCTTTTTCTTTTACTTCGTTATTCATCATTTATATTACATAAAGAATTTATACTAAGAGCGACTGCTGTGCTATAACTTGATAGGTGTAAGGAGTTTTTAAATTAGCAATTAGTCTTTGCTAAGTAAACACGTGTATATTTATCTCTTCAGTGATCGTAAATGTCAGGGTGATTAGATGAACTTCACATTCCATACACCTTGCAATTTCCTTATCATCTCATATTAGCATCAATATATATATATATATATATATATATATATATATATATATATATATATATATATATATTGGCGCTGTTTTATTCTGTTTTCTTACACAACTTTATCCTCAACTCAGCATGAGGAGGTATCGAAGTGTTGGTCTAATAGTTACCATGACCATACATTTTCAATGTTTGAACTTTGTACAGAAAATCCTTGAATAATAGAATACTCTTTATTCTGCAATACGTAACTGGTTTTATAACGTACCTTTAGTAACTAGCCACAAATAATTTATTAATGACTAGGCATCTCGAATACGTGAGTTTTAAGTTGTTTAAGAATGAACAACTAAAAATGATGAAACACTAAACAACTGCTTGTATCCCAGTCTGAAACTACGAACTTACGTAAGTCAGGTAAACAGATAGATCAACATTAAGCCCTGCGCAGAAGTGCATCAGGTCCATCCTCTGCACTGTAAAATAGAACACAGAGAATTTAACAAAACGAATGCTAATGAAGTATATGAAGGTATGTATGATAAGAGATGATAACTAAGGGAAGGTTAGTAGAAGCCTCAAAATATCAAAGACCATGAAGAGTTTTATTCACTGTTGATGCTTGGTCACAGCACCAAAATTCTTAGAACTTGACGGGCCATGCCAAACAGCACACATCTTCCTTAACAACCCAGATCAACAAATAAAAACTTCAATAATTGGTGTTGTCTTGTTCTTGCTACTTCTAGCTGTCTGAAGATTCAAAACTTCATCGACTAACTTATTTAATTCACTTAAGACTGCACTTCTGACCTGAACATTATTCACGTGATACTTTCACTACATATGATAAATGCTACGGCGAAATGTATGATCAGAAACCAACAGTTTCCTCATATCTCTTAGTGTTTGCTATCGTGTGTCACAGGATAGAGCAAACTGCTGTGCAGTATACTCGGCCTTTGGTAAATATTCGGATGTGTCGCCGACGCCTGAGATGGCGTAAGTTGTAAAATACCGAACGAGTGTTTTGGATATCAGCTACGATTTTCTGAACAACCAGCCCATTAGGGCTTTTACAACTTCACAAGTGAGGTCTCCAACACATTCTACCACTTTACTCTGTATCCTCAAACTACGAGTTTGTGCAAGCCAATCTTGAAGCGTCACCTTACGTTTGATAGTTGCGATATATTCATGTATTCTAATTTTATCGAATGTTTAATTCACGTAGTGCGTAAATTTGCTGAAAGTTAACTTACATGCTAGCAAAACGCTCTTCATGAATCACTTATTTTGACTGTATTAAGTCAATGAAAACTTTTGAATTGATGAACCTGCTGCATACTACATGATGTTATCAAAATGTTTCGTAGATGATGAAGAAATCGTTTTATCGCTTATGCAGATTTAAGTTTGTAAATGTTTTTTCAACTTACATTGTTACTATGGTCCAAGTTTTTTTATCCAGCTTAAAGTTATTTATTGCAATAAGCCTTTTTAAGAAACAAAATCATTTCATCAAGTGTTGTTCCCTGTCTATGGTCAACAATTTATTTCCTAGAATTGTTAGTAAAACGTTCTTTTTCATTTTACTTGTTTTTTCTGTGTATTTTCTCTTTTTAGATCATAGCTATAACTGAAGAAATGATTGATTCTTCATTGGTTATTCGAATTACAAACTTACTGCCTAATCTATTTTATATGGAAAACTATAATACCTTATTGCAAAGCCACTTATCTGATCTGCTACTGGAATCAAGGTTATCCCATCTGTTGCCTTTGAGTTCAACGACATCCTTACAGAATTCATCTCAGGACAATGTATTTATTCTTTCTGTGCAAGAAACCGACTTTCCAAATCGTCACTCTTTTCCCACTTCTCCTTCCTCCTCTTCAATGTTCCAAGGAAATGGATTTAATCAGCCCCGTAGTAAACGTAGTCTTGACAGAGCAGTTGATATTCTCGTAGCAGTGTACGATCCGAAAGAGAGAGAATATATCAAACCACAAAAAGTTGCTCAAGCTGTCAATGGAATCGCTGATCGGTTAGCAGCTGAATTTGATGGGGAAATTGAAGCTATTCATGATGTTTGTACTCCACAGGTTAGTTTATTATAGTGACATTAGAAAAACGTATTGCTGCACTTCTCAAGTACTGTATAAATGTGGTCATATTAAATTCATGTGAAAGTAATTTTGCCATCGTTGAAGTCTAGATAATAACTAGTTACAAACTCACCGCCAATTCGCATACGTGATCCACTCTCGTTGATGAACAGTTGTTAGATTTTACGTTTAACTGTAGCACTAAATGCTTCTGGCTTGTATCACAGATTGAAAGAGCATGAACCTTGTTACGTTATAAGAATAAAACTTGGGCACTGTGGTAGAACATAATTTCATATCATATTGTTTATTTGAAACAGCACACATTCGTGCAGTATTACTGAATGACGTTTGAACAAAATTTATTGTTCATAGTCATATGGTGCTGGTGTCACGTTATACCCCCTACCACTAAGTTCTTATGCGTCTTCAATCGTAATTAGGAAGTCTACACTTACTCATACTACTCAAGCTAACAGTTAGTGACTGAATTGGCCAATGGCACGCCTTTCCCCTTGACTTTTAAAATTTCTTACCCCACTTCTGGTATAGCTAACATCTTACATTTCTCAGGTAATGAAAGCAGTCAAGTTATTCAGTGACTTCACTCACTGTTAGACTGAATGTTGGTACAGACCAATTATTAACCAAGACGTATACTAAATATGTAAACTTCTTCTAAAGACCTTTAAGAAACCCTAAATCATTCCAACTTCCACACTAAGGAAAATTATTCTGTCTGACTACTGTAAACTGATGAAACAATCTCTGGGTATTACTTTGGTTCTATATAAAATTCTAAATCAGATACTGACACTTATCAACCAACTGATATATGTGTAGACATTTTTGCGGTTGATATCTGCATATTTTACCATTGTGATAATTTTTATTTACGTCCAGTACTCAGAAAAGTCAGTCAATGACCAATTAAAAAGCAATATCAACTTCCTAGTTGTATCATATATCACTTCAACTGTACTTAATACTAGATTTATATTTTCTTTCTGTCTGGAGTATAATCGAAACGGTACATTTAGTGTGAGTTCTGGTGTGATTGGAATGCTCAATTAAGTTTCTATGTGCTATGACAGGACTACCTTTCCAATCTAAATTTTAAAAAAACGTGGTTGGTTATTTCAGTAGTTACTGAAGTGACCTCCAAGGTCGTTCATATTGACTGAGTCACTCTTTCTCTATTAGTTTTATCGATAGTCATTTACACTCCTTGATAAAAAGAGAGTTAAAAACAATTCTGAATCATTGAATGTGTGTTTGTGTATCCCTTTAAGTAGAAGATACTTAAATCTGAGTGCCTATTGAGGATGCATTCAAGTTTCAGCAATATAAATGAGATTTATCTAACTCGTGATACATTATCCTTTGTTGTCTCATTAAAAACCAAAAGTTAATTATAACCAGTTCTCGTGCCAGGCTGAAAGATACATGAACCCTGAAGGCCAAATATATTCATTACGTTTATTAAACCTTGTGTATAATGACATTTTTAATATGTGCAAGGTATTACATAAAGAAGGTGGAGCTGGAATTAGAACCTAGATGAAAGTTAACACCTTACGTAATGTAAATAAAATACAAGTGAAATTAGATACAATTTTTTTGAAGAGTGATATAATAATTGTCATTTGATTTTCGGTATACCCAACAATGAAACTGAGATTGATAGTTTTAAGTTAAAAACATGAAGATTTTTCTATAAAAAAGTGACTGGATCTAAGCAATTACTTGTCATTATAACACAGAGTAGAAATGAATCGTTTAAAGTAGGGTGATACTAGAATTAACAAGACGATGAATGTGATGAAAATGGAATAAATGGATTTTAAAATGGAGCTGTGGCTTAAGGGTTTAAGGGATAACTATCAACCATTGGGCCATGTGTTCAAACCTCCCTTCACCTACCGAGGTTTAAGCAGCCAGGTAGTATCAGTAGCACTCACACAATAAGTGCGGCTCGTTGCCTACTGCACAGATCTGCTCAGGGTGGCCGAGTGCATTCGTTTTGTTTTGTTTTTTTTGGATTTAAAAATAGGTCAGTTGTTAGCCTCCCACCTCTGTAGTACGCCCATTGATTCTTCTTCTGAACTTTTCTTTTCACCGCCTTCTTGTTACTGATTTCATGATCGATTTCTAGTTTATCGACAAAACACTGGTGTCTAACTCAAACCTTTACTTACGATAAATTTGACCTTATCTTCGTTCTAAGCGTTTATCACGTACACCTGTATTATATTTTTCGCCAACAAACTGTTTTCTTCTTGTTCACTCACTAGATGGGCAGATTACTTGTTACTCAATCTACTTTTATGCACTGAAGTAAATAAAGAGAGGTAAAATATTCAGAAACATGCAGTTTGCAGCATTACGCCTTTTGATTATATTACCTATGCAACCCCCTAAAATTGAACTTTAAAGTCAGATAAGGTGTCTATCTGACTATTAGCTATCTAACTTCATCATATAAAGAAAATTAAATGAAAACAATTTTTAAAAGTCAACTGAATGTAGCGAATTATTTTACTAAATAATTAATGCGTGGACAATCTGAATTCAACTGGGATTCAGATTCTACAAAGTGTATAAATATAAATAATGAATTCGTAGATGTAAAAGCTTGAGTTCTTTCTTTGCTTAATTAAGGGGCTCCATTTTTAATACAGTCTTACGAAATCGTCGTTGAGGTCAGTGAAGCCTGGCTGATAGATAACTTGCATATCCTTTATATATATATATATATATATATATATATATATATATATATATATATATATATATATCACTTTTCAACTACTCAACTGTTGCTTTAAAAGTATTTCTGCCTGTAAGGACTCAGTCCAGACTGCAAAGTGTATTCATTCACACCGAAGTGTAATGATCATATCAAACATTCCACTACAGAATAGCGAAATGCTATTTGATCAGCTATGAGAAATTTGAGCACGGATGATAGAATTTATATATAATTTGCAAATCGACTATCTATTTTACAATTTATAGATCTTTTATAATCAACTGACTGAATTCAGTTCATATGAACATTTTAATCCAACTAATAAGGTTGACATTAAAACAGCGAAACCACCCATTTAGCAGTTGGACAACTTAGTCTGGTTCCAAATGTGTGCAGACCAGTGTGAATGAATTCTAACTGGTCGTGTTGCTCATTAGTTGTATTATTGAATGAAAATAGGCTAAAAGCGCTTATGCGTTAACAAAATTTGATAGAACTGCCCAGATAGCCATATGTGTTGGTGGTTTTACATTAATCTGAAAGCATTCAAAAAAATTTAGAGCGAAATTCTTCTAATCAGTTCTTCCATCAAACTATTTCGTTTCTATAGTTTGATTGTGGTTTGTTTTTAATAGCATTATGGTAGAGAGTCGTTTAAATGTATTGTATACTATCTGTAATAATCAGCAATCAAGTACCTTAATGTAATTCAGTTTTTTTTATTACATTTTTAAGGTAAAATTCATTATTGTAAGCAGATATATTTAAGTGTTCATTTTTCCTGTTTTATGCTTTTTGTTTAAGTTCAAAACATAAACACATTGACATATGGAATAGACTGAACAATTTGTAGGAGAGATTCTCTGCATATGAACAGCACAAAAATCTAGCTTATCGTTTGATTTGCACTTCATCAAACCGAGTAATAATAATTTTTGTTGGATGCATTTTTTCACACATTTTGCCGAACTCTGTGTAAATGCAGTGTAATATGTAGACATCTGAATCTGTGCCGTCATAACACAGAAATATATTGTCAGCGTGCAAACATCCGAAAAATGGTCTTATCAAGAGCAGGCAAGCTGAAAACGCACTGAAATATTTTGATTTTCTTTCTTCATAGTTATATATATTTTTAGGTGTGTTGCTAATGTCACATTATAACCTGTCTAACTGTGCTTTAAATTACTACCGCTAATAACTTGTGAGGAATGCTTTGTGAGATAGATCTAACGAAAAATATGTTTCTTCGGATAGTCATCTTTCCTTTGCTAGTTACTTGTTTCTGTTCAATGCAGCATGTGATGAATTTTTGTTGACATCCGATAAGGCTGTTTTGTTACTGTAGGCAATTCAGTTACAGGAATTCAGTTATCATGTGTCTGTATCTCATTTACTATGTATTATTCATATTCCCCATGTTTAGTTAGTAGTGTTTCACTTTCTTTGTCTTGAATTTCTTGCCCATAATGGTTCTATTCTCAGTTGATGAATGAAACGATTAGTGTTCAGTAACCAAATAACGCACATATCATTGAGGATATAACAGTGATCCCAACTTCATGGGTGACAAGATCAATTAAGGATATTATTATGCGTGTGATCCATTGGAGTGTACACTTTATTCAGGTGATACGAAACACAATGTCCTTTTCTGCACACAGAATATCTCTTTCGTTAAGAAATTTCATGAATCAATTGTGCATAACTAATAACAACTAATTCAGTTGAAAATTACCTAAATGTACTTTTTTTTTACATCCTCCTCCATGTTTCTTCTAGTTTTGTCCTCGTGGTCGGTGTCACACAAAAGTTACAATTGATCCAAATGGGGCAATGAATCGCATTGAAGTCCATCGTGTAAATCAAGTATCTCCTCGATTCATTTTATCACCTGTTTGTCAATGTCCAATACATTTTTCTGGTCTACTCTGTAATACACCAACAGATGCCTGTGCTCTAGCCAATTGTCCTGCCTCTCGAATATGTGTCCCTCATGGTCTAAATGATTATACGTGTATATGTCCACCGCCTCGTACAGGTCCTAATTGTGAATCACTTCTAATCTACGGTAACAGAGATAACTGTCATTCAGAGGCGTGCTTTAATCAAAGAGGTAATACTAAACACTAAAATTAAGTCTTCCTTTAATAATCCATACATAGGGATTATTTTTCCTGAATTTTTTTATTCGATTCTTTATTCTTCACATCTGTTATCGCTTACTGTTAGTCAGATCAGATATGCTAGCGTTTTTGTAAGGACCGATTTATAATGAACATTCAGTGAAAGAAGTAGTAGAGATTTTAGTTTCAATCTGCTTATATATAAGAGAATCTTCCTCGCTCTTTCGCTTCATTTATAAGCCCACTTCATTTCTCAGAATATTTTTTATTAGTTGGATTTCTGGATCCCTTATGTTATATTAAATGCAGTCACTAGACTTTTCCTTTGTACAGAAACTTTTTAGAATGTTAACTATTCTCTTCCCTTATTCAGGCGTGTAAGTGTGGCACATTATGCTGCTGAGAATGTCTGGTCTCTAATATTCAGGAATAAAAACTTTACTCAAAGTGCCACTAATGATGGGCATTTTACATTTAATAAAGTTTTTCTACATAGGCTCTTAATTTCTTCTTTTTATATCCATGATGTTGAGTAGAGCTGTGGCTTACTGGTTTAGGAACATAGCTTTTAACCGACGGGTCACGGGTTCGAGCCCCATTCAGCCTACTGAGTTTTGGGAAGCTAAGTAGTATCATGAGCCCCTCACATAATATGTTTGTCTCACTTACCCACTTTACGAATATACATAAGGTTGCTGAGTCCAAACAACAAGAAAACATCCACTAGGTAAATGGCAAGATTACTATGGGTTGATGAGTTAACCAACCGATGGTCCTAGACATTAACCGACGAAGTTAATTCTGAGAGCCTTTATTGTTTTCAGATTTATATTTTCTACCATTTTATATGAAGTTGAAGGTTGTTACAATTTTGAAGATATTTATTCTAGGTTTAGATGATAAAATAATGATCTGCCCATTTATATGGTAAGCATAAAACTTTTAACACTCAGTTAGATTATCATTTCTTCATTGAAGGTAAAAGTTATTGAAATCATGGTAGGTCATATTCAGGAGGAATTTTATCATTGTACTGTAACACAGCAGTACTACTTTATATGTGCATATTATTCTTTGTATTGACAGTGATTATTTTACGATCACTTTTGCACTACGCTTACTTGATCATAATTCATTTTATATATTTGTTTATCTGTTTTTAGAATATGGACCATTACAGTTCACAGGTGGAACATTTATTCACTGGGAATTTGTAAATCCGAATCCATTTTATTTTGAGATTAAATTCTCATTCCGAACTCGACAAACCAATGGACCTTTAGTGTCTATACGTTGGTCGTCAATACGAACTTTTCAGTTGAGGCTAGCAAACAGTGGACATTTGGTAATTTCCCCAACAGGTTTATCTAATGGTCTACCAACAGATGATTGGTTAATATCTGCTGCACCATTCACTGATGGTCATTGGCACCGTGTACGATTTGTTCTAATGGCAGTAGACTCAAATGCAGCTAATCCAATCGATGCCTTGTTTCATAATTCATTTTTCTCAGGTAATTTGAAAAATATTTTGTTCTTTTTGTACTTTTTGCTTTCTAACTTCGAATTAGGAAAACTTCTGGTTAAGGTGTTGGAGCAACTTTAAAGGCCACCCTAGCAACGATCGGAATACCCAATTAAGTTTCTTCATTTGACTGGAAAGGCAGATTTTCACACAATAGAGTAGTCTAATTAGTTACTTCAGTTGTTGCTAGGGTGGCTTTTAAAGTTGCTGAAGGTGTTGAAAATGTTTTAATGAACATTGTGAGCTTTTTTGTCTAGGCCTTTTCTAAAGTCACCTTGTCATCATGTAACAGTAAGCATAAGATAAAATCAATAAATTTGCACCAGTGAATATGAATAGTTTTGTGTATGAAGTTGGAAGATATATCTGTTTTGTGAAACCTCAAGGTACAGCTTGACAACATTAAACGAAATGGCTGGGTTGGGCGTGTAGCAGCTACTCAGTAATTTACGAAAAACTTGAGGTGTTGATCAAAAAGTCGCCAACTTCACATATTATTATGATCCCCATAATGTTTCTGAAAAACTTGTCAGTAAAGATTAGTTTTTTTTTATATAAATTGTCCCAAAATCCATACAGCTTAAGTAATTTTTACTAGTAAAATAAACGATTCATATTAAGTATGCCTAATGCATATTTGCATAGGTAATTTGCACCGCAACACAATATTCAAGGTTAAGTTTGCTTTAGAGACATATTTCAAGCCCTTAATGCTGCGGGATCATCCTTCCCTTTTTTGTTGAAATAAATGTTTTATTTATTTAATTAAGTTTGTGTTTGACTTAAATTTTCTCCCAACTTTCTTTTGTTATTTCAAAAGTCATATTCTTTCCTGAAGTGGTTTTAATGGGGATTCTTGTCTAGGTAAAACTGTTTTCTCAGTTGTTATTACTGTTACACTACTTAGGCAACTAAAACATACTAATCTATTTAGTTTTATCATTGTTAATACTTGTCTCAATTGTATGGTGTATAGATGGTAATCTTTATCTTCATTAAAAAATTGTTATAACCTTTTTATTATTTGTAGAATGTACACTTATGTTGCCGCTGTATATTGATTTTCAACTATTCTTGAATGAAAGACACTAGAAATCACAGTGTCCTTGAACACTGCAATTAAGTTTTGTTAAGCAAAAGACTCCAATAGTCATAAGTTACATTCCTTCTGTAAAAATCATTGATTCTCAAGGTCATAATATTAATCTCCTCCTCAACTTTTAAATATACCAAGTAAGAATTAAACTCTGAAGTTTGTAATGCAAATGAAGCAATGAAATTATTGTTCTAAACGAATAATTTCTTCATTCTTCTTAAAATTTCTCATTCCTATTCGTGATTTAGTTCTGTTTACAATATTGTATATCAAAAACATGTTTCATTGTTACTTGTACATCTCGTTGACTTTTTCTTACAAAAGATGATGCCTCCCTTCAATCAGAAAAAAAATGGAGTCCTCGTTATGCTGGTTCCAATTGGTGGACTGAATTAACTGTGGATGGAATAAATCCTCAATCTACTTTAATCAAATGGAGTCCAGGTGATTCACATCAGCAAGGAATTCTAGTCGGTGCAGATTTAGTATATGGATTTCGTCCTTTAAGTGAACCTTACAAATTGATAGGTGTAAATGCAGCACCGGAGAGTAATCTAGTCTCTAATTCATCACATACAAAACCTATTGTTTTTCGTTCAGGAATAGTCGGTAAGTAAATGAATGTCACTTCTGTATATAATTTCTTTTACACGTTCATGAAAGATGGATTTTGATTTAACAGAAAGAATTGCAAACTGAGTAGAGCAAAAAAAACGAGTTGCACTTTACTGGTTCGAAACCATTCAAGCTACACAGCCTCGTTGATGTCATGATAATAGAGTTCATAAATGGCATTTTAACGGCCCTGGGTCTCTACCAACTGAGCTACAAAACCTGTCTACTGATGAGATTTTTACTTCACTTCATTCACTAAGAGATCGAATCCTACAGCGGCTCAGATTTTCATTTCACCTTCAATTACCACCCAGTATCAAGCCTGGCAAACCAAGGCTGTCTCAAATAGTCCAAATGATAAGAAAGACAAATCAAGGAAGAAAATTTTGTTTTCGATGAAACATTTTCAGAAGTTGTACATTCATACTCATAGGTACAACGAGAAAATGACCATCAATGACTGATAAGTGAAAACATGGTCGTCTAAAATTATAAGATGTTCACGCGTTCATCAATGGATGAAACGTCAGGAAAGGGTCGGTCATCCAGAATCTGTTTCAGCATGCACTAACAAGTTGTTTCTAGAAGTGCCAAGTGATCGTGTCCTAGTCTAGCAAGTAATAGAAGAAGAGGTTATAACAGTGGAACGATGGTGTGAACAGTGTGAATGGTAAGGGAGAGATGGTTCGAACAATAATATTGGTACTTGATAATAAAATGGAGGAAGTCATAGGAAGACTATGACCAGAGCACAATGAGAGGGAGACTGGATGCATCTCTCTTGAACAGGGAGGGGTGAGACAGACTTCGTCTGATGAGTTGCCAAGACCTGTGCTGTGTCCAGGTGATGAATCCACACTCCCTCCGAAATGTTTGACTTTACTGTATAAATTGCCTTGAAGTGAGTGAGATTCTGGTGAAGCAGAGTCATCTGATCACTCTGTTGGGTGCTCACTAATAGGACCATCGATTGGTCGATCCGCACTCTCCCTGAAACAAGTTGGTAAGATAGTGTTCGTATATGCGTTTGGATAGAATATGGTTTTCGCAGCCCATGCAACTGTCTCAACAGGATCAGGTGAATTGATTAGTATATATGGAGGTGATTGGAATCGTTAGTTTATCTTTCGCATACACATGAATCATTTACTGACTGGCTAAAACAAATAGAAGTTGGTCGAGATGTAGATGCTTGAGTACCTCTGCATTTGTGCTTCGTTTGAATCTGTTATTCACTATTGGTGTGTTTTATGGAGGCGTTCGGGTTTGTTTCTGGCTTTGTTCAGGCTTTACTTTCTTCACAGTGGATTTGAAGAGATAACTTTTGTTCGATAACTATTCGTCATGCTCCCCAGTGTCCATTTATTACATCATGTTCGAAGTTGCATTATTTTCTAATATAGTATTCGATCATCTTGTAATTCCAGAAACACTTTACTACTAATTTCCAAAAGAGAATTTGATGACCTGTTTAAATGTCGTAATCATTGGGTTGTAACTATAAAAACAAATGTACAACTTCTGAAAAATATTCGTCGAAAGCGAACTGTCTTGTACTAAGTTGTTCTTAGGTAATTTTTCATGACCAAATGAGACCCTAATAGCATAGACACGTTTTTCAGCGTTTCGTTTTATAGGGGATGCTGCCATCGCAATACTGGTTACCTCTTACTGACTGAGAAACGTAATAACGTTAGGTGCGTAGAATCCACTGGACTCAATATACAGACTTAGATTTTGTACTGATTTGAGCTTACAGTCATCAACAATTTTCGGTTCACCTCAAGATTTTTACTTGTATTGCTCATCATGCCAGAGACACTTTCCGTCAGGTCTTCAACTTGTGAATTTTTCGTTGTAGGACCGATATATGCACACAAGTTAGTCTTCGTACATTAATCAGGTTCGATATTCAGTCTTCAATACTAGATATATTCAGAAGATAAAGTTAGTGTACTCTTATAACCTTTACTGTAATTGTGAGAAAACGTCAACTTATTGGTTTTCGTTTTTCTTGCAGGTTGTTTTCGTGATTTCAGTATTAACCGAATTAAACCACCGTATCAAGTGAATCTCGTCCCTGAACAATCGAAATTTGTTTTCGGTCTGTCGTCGAATCCTTCTCTACTGATTGTTCGAACTCAAAAACTGGATTATGGCTGTCAGCCTATAGCTACAATATCTGGATCATGTGCATCTGGTCCATGTTTGCACGGTGGAACTTGTGTGACCGGCTCAAAACCGTCATCTAGTGTCTCGTCATACATTTGTGATTGTCCTTCGCTGTTTCATGGGAGGCATTGTGAAAGAACGAATGATGCCTGCCTACTTTCTCCGTGTTACAATGGAGGCAGGTAAGTATTCATGTTTGTATACCTTTTCACTTCGTTTCCACAACTTACTGAACGTTAGTTTTTTTACCATTGATATTTCAGAAATTTGGTCTATTACTATTCTTTTGTAAAAATGTGTGTACATATGTATATATTTATTTACATGTGGAAAGACAGAAATTAAAGATGAACACAGTCGAGAATAGAGACATGATTTGTATTTATTCAATAACGCTAAATCACTGTATCTTTGTTGAGTAATTTGCACTCAATCTCTTGTACATTTTTTTTCCTCTAGTTGTCAAACTCTTATGACATCGAGTATATCCAAGACACCGTCTCATTCTGGTTTGGCTGCCTATCGTTGTGTTTGTCCAGCTGGTTTATCTGGTCTACACTGTGAAGTTGTTCATCCTGAAATTGTATCACAGGCTTTTGTGTCAAGTCAATCAACAGACAAACGTGATTCGACGTTGAAGCCTGGAGTTGCCTGTCATACCGCTCAGTTAATTCTGCAACAGGATATGGTAAACAAAATACAACTCACCACTAATTCCAATTACCGTTATGCATTTTCCATACCTTCTGCATCGAATATAAATCAGGACTCAAGAAAACTGGTGTGTTTGCACAGTGGCTCCTGTCTGGACTCACCTAGTGGTCCTCAGTGTATTTGTCCATCTGGTTGGCAAGGAGCACGTTGTGAGTATGATGTGGATGAATGTCGCTTAGTTAAAAGTGTTTATTCAACTCATCTTCATGAATCAACACCGTATATTAAATGGCTAGAAAACCGTGCCAGTCCTAATGGAGGCTTATGCAGTCCATATAGTCCTGGTAGAGGTGTGTGTTTTAACACACCTGGTTCATACCGATGTAATTGTTCTATTGGATTTTCCGGTCAGCATTGCCAATCGAAGGTAAGCCTTGTTGTTCATATTTGTCTTGCACTGGGAAACTTCATGCAATGTGCATATGAAAAAGAGAATGTTATTTTCGTTATTCCTTGGTAGTGGTATGATCTTTGAGTTAGGTGTTTGTATCCACTTTACACAACGTAAAGAGGTGTACATGAGCTGTTAGCTACTCTTAAAGCGTATCATATTCGTATTTAAGTACTGACAATTCTGGAGTGCTTGGAAACAAATCTTGTTAAGATAATATAAACTCCTGGGCTTAATAGGTATTGCAAACTAGCTGTAACTGACATATTTAAAGGTTTATGTTAAGTCTAGAATGAGACTTCACGGTTTTGTTTGGAATTATCACCTTTCTTTATGATGATAACTTCAGATGTTAAGGCTTTCCAACATCTACTCTATAAAAAGGAGTCAGCAGGGCCGTAAGACCATTGTAAATATGTTTTGTCTTCATTTCCCTTATTACACGGTAAAAACAGAGGAGCTGCGTAGGAAGTGTAACAGCTAACAAGGGCTTTTTGTAGTAGTACTAAAGTGAGTAAAGAAAGTAAACTGTTACTTTTTTAAAAACTTACTTTACAGGCTGATTTTATTCGGTATTTCATAAAAAAACCTACCGTAGTTGCAGCTGTTATAGGCGAATGGCTTGTCACGCTACTGAACAATGCGAATGACTTTAAATCATAAATTGTTTGATCGTTTTCATTAACTGAACGATAGTGATATGAAAAGTTAACAACTTTCTTATCAAGCTTGGAACATACCTTTTGGTATATTTCATGGTATAGACCATACTGATTCAGTATTAGTCATTAATGTATTACCATTTGTCAAATATAACTTCATTTCTCAGTGTGAAGAAGCCTGTTTGTAATGCTTAACAGTTGAAGAAATCCCCTTGGAATGTTATAGAGGTTTTGGGAATAGGATTATTGAGGCTTGTTATGTCATACAAACGTCATGTTTAACATTATAGGTTGTGATGTATCAGAATTTTTGGTTTTCTTTGCAAATTAGATACCAGACTAATACATTACCTATAGTCATTTTGAGTTACAATAGAGTGAGAAGTGAATGCTTATGCTCTTAGATGAACTATTTTACCAGTGTATATTCATCTACTTTGATATCACTCCTTTTCTATCCACCTGTTCTTTGTATACTACTGTGAAGTGTGACAACTTGAACCAATGCGCTTGTTGGCGAGATTCTACGTTGATTTTGCCAGTGTCAGTCAGCCAGTGTATTCGTATAATGAAAAATCTTTTCATAATTTTCATTCTTTATATATAGAATTTGGTTCCATTGATTCCTGATACCAATCCTCTTGGACTCAGTCAATTTCACATTTATATCATCGTGGGACTTCTAGCCTTTCTTTCTTGGCTGCCTTAGCCACAATTGTATTATTGGCATGTCGCGCTCGTGGTATGATTGGTGGAACGTTAGCTGGTAGTCGTAGATCTATTAAGTCTCCCGGTTCATATTGGCCAAATGGTAATCAACAAACTAAGCCTGCATGTAGATCATCAGATCCTCGCTTAAATCGGCTTAGCTACTCTGCTGGTGGAAGCTTATCTGGGGTTCCTTTTATAGCTGCTAGTCCAGCACACCCAGGTCACGTTGGTCACATTGGTACTCATCCGAGGTATCATATAGTACCTACAGCTCATCGTCGTCCATCTCTGGCTTCATCAACGTTTGGTTTTCCAGTTGCTATGGATGAAAGTGCTACTGCTCTGCTGAACAGTAACTCAGGGCAAATGCCATTTTCTTCGGAAGGTGTTAAACTTGGAGGAAATTGCAATGCAGCTGCCGCATTGACAGATTATGCTGACCGTGATGATTCTGTCACTACATGTAATCCTGGTCTACTTCTTTATCCCACAGCTATGGGTGACCAAATGCCTGTAATGATGATGCTTTCTCCTCTCCCTGGTACGCATGGGTCAGTTGGTCCAGGCAATCGGGCTAGTGTAATTGCACGTTATTCACCTGCTTCTTCAGTCATCTTCTATGGTCCAGGCGCTCCCTCAGGTTCTGCAACTCCTACTAATCAGGTCCAGTCTCCCCAACCTGGCTTTAATGTCGATCCATCTGGTTCTGGTTACGTCTCTCAGCGTCAATGTTATGCAGGCTCTCAAGTGGCTCTATATCCAACGGGACACCCTACATTCTTACCTCATCCTCAATCTCATCAACAGCTTATCCAGATGATTAACATGCGTCCAAACTCTGTAGTGGGTTCTGATCGTTTGTCACTTGGTTCAGGCAGTGATCGCTTCTCTGCCCATAGCAGTCAGGTTTTGGCACAACCCAACAGCACATGTGCTATGTCTTATCCATGCTGTTCTCAGTCACAAGCTCTAACACCTCAATTATACTACCATCAATCATCAGCATCTCATCACCAACCTTGGACACCCCATTTGGCAAGTAATGGACACACTCAACCTAATTTGCTAATCATGAATCAAACTCGTGAGGATTCTCGTTCTGAAGAAGCATTTATGACGTTAAGACCACAGAATACTGACAACGTCAAAGCTGATGACGTTAGCAAGTCCCAGTCTCCTGTAAAAAGCCAACCAAATTGTGAAACTTCAGCATCTGAATTAAATACTACTATTACTTCTACTAGTGATAACAACGGTGAGGTAATCAAACCTCGTCCTGTTCCTGCCAGTCTTCAGCATACAACAAGTGCATTTGTTTTACAAGGACGGCAGCATTCTGTGAGACAACAAAATAACCATGTTCCTACTGGTAAGTTACTCCCTACTTTATCATAACCTTTTACAACTTTTTCTCACTGAATGCACTAGTTTTTACTTATTTCCTAACGGTTTCTTTTTCCTTTCCCTTTATTTCTAATTAAAGCTTTCAGTATGTTGCATGCTATATATCCGTGTTGTCCTCAACCATTTCCTGTCTCAAATGCATGTTGTAAGCAAAGTTCAAATAACATTTTTCCAGTGATTAATCACTTACCAAATTCAAGATATGGGTTTAACAGTTCTCTTCACCCTGGTGTACATCAAGCAATTCCCGTCATTCGGTACTCACCCATCTTACCATTTATGTATTCTCATCCGTCAGTTAATTTAGATTCCATGTATAATTACCAGCCAATCCCAGAAAATGCGCAAAACTCGGAATCCTTGTTCCATCTCCCGGATTCATGTCCTCTATTACATGATAGCAGTCATCAGCATGAAGTTCCTACTTGTTGGCCTTCAGCACAAAATGTCTACCTACCAGTGCGTGACTCACTTGGAGGTCTACATCAGTCATCGTTTGCAACTGCTGCAAGCTCTAAACAACAATCTCCGTTGGTTAGTTCATTGCATGCGCATTCCTATCGGCCACTGGTAGACAAAGTACTTGGCGGTGCATCTTCACGTCGTACACTTCAGTTTCGGAGAGGTATGAAGGCTGGTGCAATTGGATTGCCTCCACCAGCATCTAGACCACATTCAGCTCATTTATTGGGCTTAAAATTTACATCCATGTCGAATAATGGCTGTATCTCAGATGTCATATGTTCAGGTTTGTTACTAATTGTGAAATTGAGTTTTAGTGCTGCCGATGTACAGTGGAAGCTTGCCATTGTTTTACTGTGTGCTTAAATGTATAGTGTTTCGCTTTCTGTGATATTCGCTGTTTTACTGCACCAGCTTTTTCCAACTTATCACTCTACTAAAGTGTTGCACTTTTCCTCACTTTTTGAAGATGCTCAACCGAATTGTCGAATTCGAAATAGTACAATTGGAGAAGCTAATGGTTGCATGAATGGTCCATGGGTAGATGACATCAGTTCATCTCCTAATCATATGCAAAATAATCGTACAAAATTTGATTCTAATCTTGTGTCAACTTCTACACATTCGAATGAATTACCAAGCAATGCAACTAGTAATGGTAGTGGTGTTATTCAAAACCAGATCCCAAATAAATTAGATTGGTTTGGAAACAGCTCAGGTTATCACCCACTTTTGCGAAATAATACGTGCAATTCATTTGAAGTAAACGGAAATCACAAAGAGTCTCAGGTAGGTAGTGTAAGGTTTATCTTTATTTTTAAGATTTATCACTGTCATTTTCTGTTCCACATACTGTTTATGCTTGTGTACGTGAATTTTCTTCCTTTTCTTGAGGTTTAACAGACTATTCTTATTCATACAGCATACATTCTTCTGCTTAAATTCTAAGTGGCCTGATATTTATTTTAATTTATCGGGAGACGCAGTACTTAAATCATCACTTCAAGGTACAAAGGGAACTGCACCAGAGCTACGTGTTTCTGTTAGATTCCCTAATATTGTGGATCGTCAGTCATTATTAGGCTAGAACCTAGGATATTTCAATTTCTTGATGAATACATCATTCAATTTGTGCGAATCAATTGACCTTAAGGTAGTATTCACCGCATACTAACACCATTTGGAGAACCATTCAAAGCCTCAGGAGAATGGACAGCTGTTTCCTCTTAATATGAGACTCCTCAACAATGTGTATCTACTAACTCCCCACTATAGGACGAAAAGTTTGTTTAGTGCTTCCAAGTTCTCAGTGGTTTTTCAACTCATGTCCACCCGTGATAAATACTAGCCTGAAGAATATTATTGTTGAAAATTACTTCAAAATTCATTGGAATACATTTTCCGTTGTTGTTGATAATCGAAATTTGTGATTCCTAATCTGTGGTACTGTATGGTTCATTTCTTTTTAGGGGAATCCTAAAGAATTCATCTCTTATTAGATTTTTAAAAATGAACCTATACTGGTAGTGGACTATGAAACAAGTGCTGATTGGAAATATCGCTCCGAAGTATCTACTCATAATGTCATTTTAATGTATGCTTCCATTGAGCTACTCCAAGTTATGATCTTGTACAAGATTTATGACAGATTGACTGAACGGGAAGGAAAAGTGTTGACATTAAACAAGTGTAATGGGTATCGAAGTAATTAACTTTTAGTTTGTAACATACGTATAATGCATCCTGTTTATCTGATGGATGAATGGGCATAAACTTCTGCAGTTTTTTTTCTCTATAGTTTGATGTATTTAGGCAATCACCAGTTCACATACTTTTTTATAGGTTATCAAGTGCAAGTCGAGCTATCGCTAATCGACCTAGCAACTCTACTTTCCGCCAATGGGCCATAGGTTCGAGCCCCGCCCCATATACTAAGGTTTGATCAGATAGGCAATACCGTTGGCACTCATATAATAGTTGTGGTTTATTTTCCAGTATGCGATGGTGTACATGATTATAGAGTTACCTGTTAAATCCTACACTTCTGTTTCTTACTCTACAGTTGACCAGTTCCACTATTATTATTATAATTTTGTATCTTTTGTCCTTTAGAAGTATTTGTTGCATTTTTTTAATTCATTTTCTTCCCTAAACTGTTATCATTTCAGAATGTTACATCAGACGCCACAGCAGAATTCACACAGAAATCACTGACTAATGGATTGGCAACAACGCATACAAAACAATCATCTCTTGTAAATAATTCATGCCATGATACAAAAAGCATCTCAACCATAGATGATATGTGACAATCTATCTGTTTTCTTTTTTTTTCTATCAAAAGTAGTCATCCTATCTGATGGTATCATGCACCAATCAATCTATCAGTTAATATACCTTGAATCTCATGGACAATATTATGTTCCGTTTGTGTATATGCTTTCTATCTGTTTGTTTTTCACTCTCATCCTCCTCTTCTCCTCTTATTACACCTACTAATATCACGAAATGTATAATTATATGCAAATGAGTCCGAAAATATGTTGTGTTCAAGTAGCGTACTGTTGGATAGTGATTTACTGTAAGACGGTAAGCACAAGTTTTATTTCTCAAGAGAGTGTGATCACTTATTTCTGTCTATATTATCTACCTCGCTAAAGTGTAGACTGAATTGGATTTCTTCTCTTGTTGTAGATGTTCAATTTTCTTTTTCTTCCACTTTCATCTGTTATCATTCACGTTGTTAGTACTATTATTATTATTATGAATACTAACATCATTATAGCATAAAATCTTGTTTACTAAATGCTGCTTACTAATTAAGTCTTTTGAAGATCGCACAAAAATGTTTATTCACGCAACTTTCAATGCTACTACAATCCTAGTTAACGTTGATGATTTGTTTATTATCTACGGCTTATGTATATGCACAAGCATTTCTGCAGATATGAAACTAATTGCCTGTATACAAAACAAGTGAATTGGTTTTCTTTAAACACAATCTCTTTTATTGCCAAATCGTTACTATCATTATTATTATTCATTTTTCTTTTTGTATTTATTCGTGACAATTATGAATGCCCAACCGGTTCTGTGAATTCACTGTATTCTGACAGTTTGCACTCATTTTTTTTTTCTAAAGTTTTAATTTTATCTACTATCCATGTTTATTCCCAAAGATGTTTTTTTTTTGAAAATCTGAATTGATCTCATATTTCTTTTCCAAGAACACTACTGTCTATTCTTCTTTCAGCTGACATTATCATTTTATATGGCATGCCTTTTTTTTAAATTAATATCCATTACAGAAATCGTTTAGGCAATCTCTCTGTCTCTTTTCTTTGTGTGCGTATATTTCCACAACAATCTTTCATTTATGTAACCACCTTCTGTTGAATAATCTTTTGCTTCTATTTGTCATTTTCACTTCATTTCGTCTTCTGTTTTGATTTTATTCATGGAGAATTATTGTTTCTCATGATGAATAGTGGTTATGTGTAAGCATTGTAACTATGTCTTATTTAAAATTTCCTTTTACGAATTTTATGTTTCAGATACATTATATATCAATCAGAATAGGTATTACTATCAATACTATTATTGCATAACTTCTGTTGTTGTTTTTGACTTTACCTTCCTTCAGTAAATAGATATGTAGGCCATTGTTTGGTAAAAACTGTTTAAAGCTGACCACAAACGGTTTTATCTTACGCTCCATTTTACACCATAATGTTGATAGCAGTACTAACGTAACTGCAAGTGCTTATAGGTTATAATGTGAATGTTTGGAATTAAGTGTCTGAAGATTTTTAAAGTGGGGTATTTGCTCCAGTATCCTGCTGTGTAAAAGGTTGTTTTTTTAATGAATTTCTCTTTTAAACGGCTGGGTAGTTTAGTCAAGATAGGTGCGATAAAACCCACGATAAAGTATTCGTGCATACTTTTCTGTACTGGTTGTACAAGTACTGGTTAGTTCTTTTATACAAACTAGTATACCATTGTGCTCAGTTGCCTGGAAGCTTGTGTCTTTTTGACTGACTAATGTGTATGTTGAAGTTGTTATGCTTTTTTAAAGGCAAAATGATATGAATCACCAAGGCGAATTAAAGTGAACTAAAAATTAATGATAAATCATAAAATTATTGGAAATCTAGAGTTGAATATAAAGTAAACAAACGCATCTACATCACAGATATAGATTCCAGTCAACTTGAAAATAATTCATTTTATTCAGTTGTGATGATCCACTAAAATCATTGCTAAGAATTCTTTATGAACAGTAATAATCACTTTCAACTATCTAAATAAAATCTATGCGAAGATTGTTATGTTTTCATCAATGTATAATGATTCCCCAACTACACCTATGTGTTTTGGATTCTTCTTTTGTACCTACCAGTGTGCATACATTACTTCACATGAGATTATATTATAATTCATTCTAAGAATTACACCTTTTAGTTCCCATGTGAATTTGATAAAGTACTTTGTTTGTTCAACCACTTGATGCTTTTATTTAGCCAGTGGCATTGATCTATGTTTTTTATAAAACTATTGAATCATAGCTGCTAGTCCTAACATATCTAAGCTAAGCTTAATTAGCATTTGTAGCATTTCTTCTGAAAACTAGACTGTTATTGATTAGTGATTTTATTTCAGTTTGATTCTCCAATTGTTCAACACTTTGCACGAATTTACATGTAAAGTTTTAAGTTAATGAGATCAACTTATTGGTTAGTTCATCTTGTATGTTTTTCTCCTTATGTACTGGGTAACTCGAATATCAAAATAATAATAATCGTATTCCTAGAACCTTTTTTTTCAAACTAAGTGTGAACTTGAACTGAATGTTTATTAATTTATTTTCTCTATCGCTTTGATGAAAATACAAAGTGATTCAACACTCCGCAACCAGTCAGGAGTAAATCTAAATCAACGAGTTAAATTCATAATCTGTTAAACTAAACTTTCATGCACTTGTTATCGTAGTACCATTCACACTTCATCAGACTAGTTAGGAACCTTTTTGATTCATCCATAATTAGTGCAGTAAAGTCTTTTTGAAACAAAGTTTTTTTTTCCCTTGTGTATAAACCACTTCGTAAATAGTTAGGCCATATAATTTCATAGTTATTGGTGGTTTTTCAGTTCGTGACAGTATTAGTAAAACTTGGAAACGATTTAAGAAAACCCGAGAGTAGATTTTTGTAAGCTTTTCAACCAGGATAGCTTACACGCAATAAACACGATGTATGTGCCTAGAATCTTTTGCTCCCTCTTCTCTTTTATTCTGCCTTGGAAATTCCGCACATTAGCCTATAAAGCTTCGCTAATATCCAGAACCGAAGCTCACTCAGCAACGTCGTACATGTTTGTGCACCAAGCACCTAGTCACACGTGTTGTATGAGGGCTAACGTTACTAGATGACTGATCAGACTTAGGTAGGTGAGGCGGTGTTCGAACCAGTGACCTACTGGTTGAAGTCAACTGAACCACAGCTTCTCAATGACATGCTATGATGTATTGTTGTGTTCTGCTATAGGCATAGGCAATATAACAGCTAAAAACTAATCGTTCCAAAGTCTTAAGATCGATTATATAATTATTATCTGTCAATTTTTATCACTGTCTAGATTATCTCAGGAATAGTTTTTATGAAAATTAAATGTGATATTCATTTCGGTGCAGATGACAAATCAACTTTTCTTTTGCCCGATTTCTTTGAATTCATCTTTATTGTTTGTCCGCTAGATAAAAAAATAATCCACTGAAACAATAGATCTGTCAATCCAATGGGTTCCATATCATATATAATGTTTAGATAACAGTCTTGATAAGTAAAATGCCAGTAGTTTGAAGGATATGATTATCAATTTCATGTTTTAGATTGCGTCTGGATAAGTTTACTGCATGATCCTAATATCTTACATGACCATACTGAGTGACAGTAATTGAGTATGAAAGTACATGCGTTGTACATTACGTAACCTGTTTGTACTTTGTGTGAAGTGCCTATATAACTTTCAATCATCCTTCTACCCTATTTCTTAGCCTAACTGGCATTATTCTATAAATATCAAGGCATGATTCATGTACTCTTTGTTAATCCCTTTAACAGCGGTAGGTAGGTGGACTTGCTTAGCAAACCAAGTTTCTGCACTCTATACTAGTATATCAAAATAGAAGTCAATAAATGGAAAGAAAAACACAAAAGAAATGACATAAAAAGAGACTTCAGAGAATAAATTTGTTTTCAACGATGTCGTATGATTGGATTTTTACAACAGAAAGCGTCATGAATTCACATAGCAGTCGGGCAAAATATTTGGTGATTGAAATGAAATAAAAATCCGGTCAGCTATCGAGTGTCGTAGCTCGGTTGGTAGAATACCAGCCTGGAAACCCAGTGTTGCTGATTCGAGTCCTGCATTGGTCCAAATTTCCATTTTACTTTCACTCATCATGCAGTATCAGAACTCTATTTAAGTACTATTATACAACTTTTGGGAGTGATGTCGTTGTAAACAAACTTTTTCGATTATATCTTTCTTGTATTACTCAGCAGATGTCATTTCATTTCTGAGTAATACCCTTTCAACGGAAACAATCTCTTTTTATGTGACTATACTGATATCAACAACCTTCAAATTAGAATTCACAAGGATATTTTGAAAGAATCGACCTTACGATTTACCTTTAATGTGCAAGATAAATATAATCCTGGACTCCATAGAAAAAAGGATTGAGCAGCAGTCAGTTCATTATTCAGTTATCTCTTAACTGGGTGTTTTATGGCTAGTCTTGAGAACACTGAACAATTTCCGCTGACCGACCGGTTTGATCCATATTAAAGGTATATAGAAGACACTACTGTCGTCTATGAAGAGAACAGTTACCTTGAAGCTATATTACAGAAGTAACGAGTCAACAAACTTTGAGATACGAAATGAAAACAACCGCACTTCTGAACTTTGTTGAGAAAGGAATGACGGTTTCCTAAGGAGGTCGACTGCGAGAAGTAAACCTAAGATGAATTAAAAATCCATTTTTAAAGTTCCACTTAGCAGAAAGTAAACTTTACTTAGCTTACTATCCACAAGAGTCACAAAAATTTGCAAATGATGCGAAAAATGAAAAACTTGAGGCACCATCTCCAGTGCTTATTGAAAAAAGCTGATTTCAAAATCTATTGAGAATAAAATGAGGTCTAAATAAAACCAGAAAAGAAGCCCAACACCTCCATAAAACACACCAATAGTGAATAACAGATTCAAACGAAGCACAATCGCAGAGGTACTCAAGCATCTA